CATGTGTATTTCATTGTTGATTTAACTTGAAATTACCGCTTGTTTACAAATTATCAGAGCACAGGTGGCCACCTGCAGGTTAACAATAGATGATTGCATCATACTACAGTTAGAAATCATGTGATTTACCTGTGTAAACAAACAATGGCTTAGAATCATTCAAAAATGGCGGACTGTTACATACGATGTTCTTTGAGCATATAACTCAGTAATTACGCAATATTTTCTCATTCAGTAAAGCATTACATGAAATTCAAGCTATAAACTACGTATTTCTTGAAAGGTTTGAAAATTATAATGATCTCTTTATTTGAAAAATGTTATCACATTAATTTATAAGTAAGTTTAACATCTTATTTTAGGAGAATCACCAGGTAAAGTAATCAAACGAAAGTGCAAGTTAAAATTGGCTACGATGTATTGTCAATACATGTAGCTCTATAAATCTTTGTTTGGGCTCTTATGGAGCAACCGGCTATTAATTTCAGCTATTTGATACCAGAAGGTTTCAAACTTATTTTTAACCAGGATCCACTGTATTGGTGTGTGAGCAGCAGTTTGAATGTTTTTCACAGAAATTTCTATTTTTAGTAACCACAGCAACACCGTTCATCGAAATCAAAAACTGATAAACAGAATTGTGTATCTAAGTGTAGTCTACTTGTGTGCCAAATTATATTGAAATTGGAAGAAAACTGTAGGAGGAGAAGCATTAAAATGTATTTCAAAGAAATTTCTGTTTTAGTCTCCACCGCAACACCATTCATCAAAATCAAAAACCAATAAACAGAATTATGTATCTTAGTGTAGTCTACTTGTGTGCCAAGTTATACTGAAATCAGACAAAAACTGTAGGAGGAGTAGCATTTTGAATATATTTCAAAGAAATTTCTATTTTTAGTCACCACAGCAACACCGTTCATCAAAATCAAAAAACCGATAAACAGAATTATGTATCTTAGTGTAGACTACTTGTGTGCCAAGTAATATTGAAATCACACCAAAACTGTATGAGGAGTAGCATTTTGAAAGAATTTCACAGAAATTTCTTTTTTTAGTAACCATGGCAACACCATTCATCAAAATCAAAAACCGTTTAAAAGAGTCATGTATCTTAGTGTAGTCTACTTGTGTGCCAAGTTATATTGAAATCAGACCAAAACTGTACGAGGAGTAGCATTTTGAAAGAATTTCACAGAAATTTCTATTTTTAGTAACCATGGCAACACCGTTCATCGAAATCATAAACCGTTTTAAAGAATCATGTATCTTAGTGTAGTCTACTTGTGTGCCAAGTTATATTGAAATCAGACCAAAACTGTAGGAGGAATAGCATTTTGAAAGAATTTCACAGAAATTTCTATTTTTAGTAACCACAGCAACACCGTTCAGAAATCAAAAACCAAAACACAGAACCATTATCTTTTTAGTTTTATGGGCCAAGTTATATTGAAATCAACCAAAACTGTAAGAGGTCTTTTAAAAATTGTTTTCAGACAGATAAATATAGGGAAAATGCGGACACATTACTATGGCATAAGCTTTTCTGCTCCTGACCAGTAGGAATGGGTACAGACTACCAGAGGGCAAATTTTGGAATATAACTTTGCATGGCACTTGGGTTGCAAGGTGTTCTTAACTAAATGAATATTTTTAAAATGCATAGTTTGTTAATAAGTCTTGCAGGATCAAATCCATTTTTTTTAACCTGGTATATCTCTCAAAGAAATAAATTTCCCTTACCAATAATTATTAAACTTTGCATGCAATGATAAAAAAGAAAAGCCTTGTTCAAAATTATCAAATTCCTAAACAAACCTTGTTTTTACGAAAATTTGGATTTGTTTTAACACCATGCCTCTTTTAGAAATTTCTTTCCTTACTAATGATTCCTCCACTTCTCTTGATGTCAGAAAGAGTTCAATGTTTGTCAGATCCTGCAAAATAAAGATTTCTTTCATTAACAACTTTCAAGATTATTCCTATATATTCCTATGTACCCAACCTTACCCCAGAAGGTCATGATTTAAAACAAGAGGCCTGTGGGCCTTATAGGTCACATGAGTAAAATGTCAAACTTTCCAACAATTGAATTTGGCTGAGGCCATGAAATTCATAATTCTGAAAAGAGGCACCACTGTTCATCATAACTATACACTTAGCATGCTTAGTTTAATTACTTAATACATGTATCCATAGGCAGAATTGGGGAATAACAAGAGACCCATGGGCCACATTCCTCACCTGAGTAATTTTGTTCTTTACCAGATTCCACAATCGATAAAGTCCAGGCTTTTTGATATCACTTTCAGCTGCTTTTTTATCAATAAAAATGGAGCTTGTAAAACTTACATTGTCATTGATCATTTGAAAAATTATTTTGTTTTAAAAACATTCTCATTGTACTCACAAGTACTCTGAATTTGACATAAAAAAGATGTTTGAGTTTCTGATTGACAATGTATGTGGTTTTTGGCATCCAGGTCTTCTAACAATTTATTGGAAATTATTGGGTGTACCAATTGCACCCCGTTATTTGCAAACCTATTTTTGTATTCATATGAAGCAGAATTTGTCGAGAATCTTACGAGGGATTATCAAAAAGTTTGTGGACTAGCATCATAAAATTAAAACCGCTTTAGACACATCAATGAATTTTAATATATCTAGTTAGCATCATCTTTTCTATCTAAAAAATAAACCATAAATCATAAATAATATTTTTTAATAAATTAGTAATGTTCTTGTAAGCAATGGTTTGTCCAAACAGCGCAACCTCCAACATGACGTTTTTGAGACTTATGTGTAACTGAGAAAAACTCTTTTGATATGATCATTTGACATCCAAAAATTCCGTTTATTCAGGTATGTGTCGGGACACAATTGTTCTATAAAATTTGAAATTTTCACTTCATTCTGGAAGTTCTATGAAATTTTACCGTAAATTTTACACGGACTGTCCAAACAAATGAGGCCTTGAAAATGACGTCAAAAGGAGGGAGGGGTTTCCGTTTCCAACATTCAATAAAGTTTTGCCCCTGAAAAAACTGGTATAGACCTAAAATATGTTGAAACTGGCTACAGAGAAATAATATGCATCCACAGTACTTGTCTTTTAATGTCAAAATAGATTCAGAGAGAAAGGGTGTGAAAAATCAATCACGTCAAAAAATGACGTTGATCATGTCTTGTAGATATTGAACTCCCAAAAGCAAAATATGCTGGCATAATCAAGCGCGGATTTCTCCCATTGTATTAATCCATTTGGAATATTATATTCATTTAAGGCCACTGATCATGACATTGTGAAGTCATATAAACAAGGCGGGTTTAAGTCCTTACTCAGCTCCAGGGAATCTCATCAAAAAAGTGTATGAGGTAGAAGAAGCGGACATTGAAAAAACAATGACATTATCGGACATCATGAAAATAAATGACGACAGCGCGCCGGGTGATCATATAATGTAATTTATATTTTGTAATAATTTGGCAAATAATGAACGTATCAGGCTAAAATTTTCAACATTTCTTTATTTTTTGTTGTTTTATGTTCCATATAAATTTTGAAAACACAGCCTACATAATACTAATTTTATAGCCTCAGTCCACGAACTTTTTGATAACCCCTCGTACTAGTATACAATATTGTTAAGTTTATATAGATGCCTATATCTTTCCATCCTGGTTGCACACGGAGCTGTGTTTTTTTTCAGTAAAATATTTTATGCTGGTTCTGAAATATCTATTTAATCATTTTGTATGGATTCTTTCATTATATTGTGACAAATATGTAAATATATTCTGAATTTCAAGGAAAAAAAACAATTTTAGCAATTAACATAGACCCCCACTTAAGGTTTTTATATTCTGAATATATAAGATATATAACTTTGACCAATCTGCTTGAAGTGCAGAGAGATCAAATAATTGATAATTTGAAACTTTATCTTAGTCACGATTAAAAAAAAAAGAAGAAGACTATATAATAGTTTACTTTGTACATTGGAGAGAACTTAACAGAAACGCGTTTACTATGTAATTTTTGATAAAGACCCAAATTTAAGTGTAAAAATGTCATATTAAATATATTATACTGTAGCGCCAAAAGAAGCATATCAATTGATCCTCTTTTTTGTTGTTGTTTTTTTTTTGTTTTTGTTTTTTTTGGTGTGTTTTTTTCTTCTTTTTTTGTTTTTTGTTTTTAGTATAGAAACTAAAAATATACTTGTCAGACCAAAAAGTTTTTAAAAGACTTTAAACATCACTGAGGATCCAACTGTCATCAAGATTAAACACTGATTATAAATAAATGAATAAAATTTGTATTCCAAAGGATACGGGCACATGCAGTAGTTTTTTTTTTCCACGTGTCTGTGATTAGGGAAACTTGATGCATTTGACACCCCCCCCCCCCAAAAAAAAGAAAACGTTGAAAAAAATGTTTTCATTTTTTAAATTCTTTACCAAAGACTGCCAGCCTGTTATGCTACAGTAATCTAAAAAAAAATTATGTGAAGAAATTCTGATATGCTCTGAATTACCACCCTCGCTCCTTTGAGATCCACCAACTATTAGGTAACATTAGTTCCTAATTTGCATACCGCATGGCGTTTGACCCATAACCTTGTCTTGTGACATACTTTAAAAATATTCATTTTCTATGCATTCCTCACGTATATTCTTCTGTTATTTTCAAATATGTGCACTTATCTCATGAAGTTCACATCAATTTGATTAAATCAAGTACGTGAAGATAAGAAACCCACTTTATTTATAATATTTCGTATTCCGTACTGTACGCCATTTTGATGCCTTCCTCGAGCCTAATTACATTTTACCGGAAATAGGACGTTCTGTAATATAGTGCAAAAGGAAATTTAATTTGTTAAATCGGGTTACCCGATATCAAGAGAAGTTGATAATTTGATAAATAAAATATCATAATTTAAGCACAGAAAAGTTAAAACCATATAATAATTTTCCTTTTTAACGAAAATATAACTACATCCGGTTTTGCGTGCGTATGAATATCATGTCTTTGCTGACGCGGGGAGACTGGCAACTGTTGCCCTAGGAATAAACGCCATAGCCACCGTAGCTGTTGACGACTGTAACCCACCAATACGTAAAAGGTGAATTTTCATTTACATCATGGTCAAAGTAGTAGATGTAAATCAATGTCTCTTCGGGGATGATTTTTGCAATAAATAATTAAGACATTTCTTGCTAATTTACAAATGTTTGGTATGCACGCTGGGTTGGATACCGTTTCTAAAAAGAAAATGGCGTCCAATCATGAAGTGAAGTGTTTTTTGGTCAGCAACGGTTTTGTATCCTAGCAATGACTATTAATGTTTCCATGGTAACAAACGTTTTAAAGCTAATTTTTAAGTTTATCATATTCTTTATAATTTTATTCTAATTTTTGCGTTATTTTTGGTAGAAAATTAATAAAATTCCTTGGGAGTTGGTTGAACTTAGGTGGAATATTGAGTTGCTAGGAAACTAAAAAGTTATGAAAGATAACGTTGAAGAGGCATAGTTTTCAGTGTTGACATGGTTGAAACATGTGAATCAAATATTTTAAGAAGTTTTTCAACTTTCTGTTCATAGTTTATGTGTATATTTTTAAGTTGAGAATATGTCAACTTGTTCAGACATGTTGATAATAAAAATAAACATATTGACAACTTTCTTTTATAAAGTTTTTAAAAAGAATCGTTGGTTGCTAAGCTGAATTAAATAAGTAAATAAATATATTTATCATTGAAGCTATTATTTATTTTTTTTTTTTGCTATTCTTGATTTTAATGTGTTATTATTTTTTTAATTGCCACTTTATTTACAAAATGGAGAATATTTAAAGATTTTGATGCTATGACTACTTAGCAAAATTAATTAATTTGAACAGAGGAGTTTCAAAAACACTTTGGAAACTAAAAAAAAAAATATTAAAAAAGTTTTTTCAAAGAAAAGTTTTCAGACTTTTTTGTGGGCAGATTATGGAAAAAGATATGTTGACAAACCTTAGATTAAAAATACCTTGACACTATTTACATATAGGTAACAGCAGTATTATTGCATGCCAGGGTTTTATGCTGTAACTCTTTCTAGTTTTGTTTGGAATATATTGACCTTTTGTTAATAACTAGTAAAATATTAAATTTTGGAAATTTTAAACTACTGTTTTTGTGAAATGTTTGTGATAAAGATTTTACAAAGTAAAAAAGCTAACACAGGTATAACATCATGTATTTACATTGCAGCATTTCAGTTTCAGATAAGAAAATTAAAAACAGATAATCTTAAAAAAAAAAAAGGAATTATAATTTAACTTCTGTGTCTCAAAAACTGATATATCTCTCATGCCCATTTACAATGAATATGTCACTTTGATTTGGAAGTCTGTGTATTCTTGAAGTACTTTTACATTTCAAATCCTCAGAAATCAGAGATTGTTCCATGGTCCCGTCAAGTGTTAGAGATAATGGGGCTTGACAATTTGATTTTTCTTTTTCAACTGTGTAAAAATTGTTATTTGACTACCTTTGGTGTGACCAATGGGACAAGTGCAGTTGTAATTATCATGTTAATGACTGGGAACCATCACAGAATTAACAAACACTTTGATAAATTTGTTCCTGATTCAAACCAAGAATTTGCATTGGAGAGAATGTGAAAATATTTTTAAAAATTTTGTTTAAACTCTGTAAACACTAAATATTCATGATGACTGTGGTACTGCTAAGTCGCCCAATTTTAAATTTTATACTTTTGAATGAATCTGGGGAGAAATTATGAACAGGATCAATATTTCATTACAGTTTCCTAAATGATCTGATGGCTACACAAACCTTCGTCACAGATTTGCAGGCAATGAACCCAACTGTTGTTCAAGTACAGGTAAGTTCATAATTTGTTGTGATAATAAGAAATAAATTGTTAATTTTTTGAGACTGAATTTTGATATTTTTAGTACCTATTTTATAAATATTTACAGTGTTAATTTGAACTATGTAGAAAACAAACATGCTGTATGTGTATTGTCACTGTTGTATACATTAACCTTTTATAATTATTTATTTGTTTATTTAGCAGGGTAATAATCAGCAATTTATTTGATAATTTAGCAGGGTTCTTCAAAGTCACCATCTACATCTCAATCACAGAATGGACAGACCCAAAAGACGACTATCATACAGCCTTCCCAGACACATTCTGGCCAACAATTCATTGTTACAAGTAAGTAAAAGCATGCCTGGCATGTCTACTTAACAGCAAAATAGTAATCTACTTGTAAAATTAAAAACTGCAGATAAATTTTGTGGTTAAATAAAGATTGAAAACTTGTCAGAAAAGACCAGCTTATTACTATATAGAGAATTGTTGAGGATGTATGTAGTTGTTGGTGACTAATGTAATACAAATCTTACTTCAGTTCCGGATCAGCTGGGAGATCAGGCACAGGGTGGAGACACCGTGACCATCCAACAAGGAGGACAAGCGGTTTACCCCACACATGTACAGTACGTAGATGGCTCAGATCCCGGTATCTACGCAAATGGTCAAATGTACGATATATAGAAATAGATGTGCCTCAGTCTGCTGTGGACTTCACACTGGTTTGAGTGGCAGTAATGCTTGGTTGTCATGCACAAACATTCTGAATATTGTACTGGCTTTGCAATGTTCCTCTCCAAGAAAAAGGAATTTGTTTCCTAAAATTTACATTAGGTGTTTTAGTGTTCTTTTGTAAATCTGGAGTTTTCTTTCAAGGGATTCATTAAGAGGATTTAATTATCTATATATAAGGGACATTGCTCTGCATGCACTCCTCTTTGAACAGCCACTATGGGTGTATCTCGGAGAATACCACTTATAAATGTGTATCTGTTGTCACACATTGGCACTCACTTACCCCCCTTGAAACTGTACTATTGTCAGAATATGTTTGGTGTAATCTATGATATTGTTTTTATTTTCAAAGCAGAGTACATCCTAGATATAATGGCCATTGGTAAACTTTATCTTCACAAACTTCGTTGTTCAAATTCTTTCGTTATACCTTTTAAGGACAGAAATCCTTATATCATTTAGTGTTGCTTTATAGTGTTTTTACACTTTTTACAATTTTTTAAAATTACATTGGTGCCATTCTGACTACTGTTAACCAACTATCCCTCACTTTTGTCTGAATTTTGTTTGTGATGACAGGAAAATTGAAAAAAAATTATGCTGTATTTTATAAACAAAGCCCGCTTTGGATAATGCTTCAATGAGAAACAAAAAAAAATTCTGAGAGATAGTTGGTTTACAGTAAATATTCTAATGTAAACTAATACAAATGATTTTGAAGTGAATATTGAGTTAATTTTTTGTTTGAAATCATTAACAGTTTAAAAAGAGAGATTGAACACAGTGAAATGGATGTCTGCAATACTTACTCTCAAACTTGGTCTTAATCTTCATAATGAATATTTCAACACCTTGAACTGACTTTGTGAGCAGTTACGTTTAACTATTGTGTTTTGTTTTAAAGGCAAGGTACTTACCAGAATGAGTATGGGCAGACCATGTATACACCAGTATCCAGTGCATACTACCAAAGTACAGGACAGCAGGTACGTGAAGAATTCATGTTACAATCTATATTTATGGCGTGATGTATCAAATAAATCTTGCTTCTACTTCTGTTGAAAGACAAACATACCAAACAAGGGTTTGTCTTGATTTCTACAAATATATTGGTTGCATTATGGTAAAAACGCAAATGTACTTTATAGTTAGGGACTGTACAGACAGTTCAGGGACAGATTTTGCAGCACCAGGGAGGAACTTACCTGATCCAGGGAGGTACGATGGACGGGGAGGGCACTCCCCTCACCCACACCACCCGAGCCTCACCTGCTACGGTTAGTGTACCTTTTATTGCTTTATTAAGAAAATAATTTGGCGTAATATTCTCAAACTTAACCCACTGAATATATCACTGAATTGTGCATATGCATCGTAAAGTGGAAAAAAGCCATATTACATGAAAACTTGATCTTATCTTCATTTCTTGGTTTACAAAAATGTGCTGCAATTATTGACAAAGACCTTGATATTTTAGGTTCAGTGGTTGATAGACAACTATGAGACTGCTGAAGGAGTAAGTCTACCCAGAAGTACCCTGTATAACCACTATCTGAGACATTGCCAAGAACAGAACCTAGATCCAATGAATCCAGCTTCCTTTGGAAAACTCATCAGATCAGTCTTTTTGGGGTTAAGGACAAGACGCTTGGGTACTAGGTAAGATCAGCAATCCATTCTAAATGTTACTCGATCTTGCATACTTATTTGAATTTAAACATTTGTACTTCATATTCATGTTAAATGTTTTTGTCAAATAAAGATGATAACCATTTCAGGGGGAACTCAAAGTACCATTATTATGGAATCAGGATAAAGGCCAACTCACCTTTAAATCAGTTCACTGACAATGAAACAATGGCAATCAGGCAACAGCCTCTTTATCATGGTAAAGGGTAAGTTGACAACTCACCAACTGTATATATAGATTTAATTTATTGCCATTAGAAGGAAAATACAGTAAAATCAACAATGTATTGAAAATAAGATAATGATAAGAAATTTTTGATTTTACTCTATTTTTTGCACAAACTTTCATGCCCCTATTGTACATATGTATATTAGATAAAGTTTTAAAATTCAGCAAAGGCTTCTGCCAGGTCAAACTTGAAGGAAGAAATATGGTCATTGTCTGTATCAGTATTACAAATACATCTAGGTAAAAATAAGCAGTTTTTTTTTTTCACGTTTTGTTAACAGTAAAGGCGAGGTAGATGGCTCAGACAGCAATCATGGTTCACATGGAGCACACGATCCTGCTAAGGCCCAACAAGAACAACACCAACAATTTCTGGGAGATGCCTCGGCAGCTCTTCCTAACTTTGGTGATATTGACACATCTGTGCCTTTCCCTGAAGGAATTACAATCGAGCATGTCAGATCATTTGAGAAAATGTACAGAGAGCATGCAGAAGCTATTGTTGATGTAGTAGTCAATTTACAGTTCTCTCTCATCGAGGCTTTATGGCAGGGATTCTGGAGAAATCAACCTCCTGATCAGTTAACGTAAGTATATATATTAAATATCCCTTCGTTTAGGGAGAACAATGGAAGTTCTTAATTGAAGTTTCCTTGTCTTTTAAGTAGGTAATAAACTTTTGACACAAAAGTAACTTCCCTGTTCACAAATATATAGAAATTGAGGAAGTTTTTACATGAGCATTGACAGAATGATGTTCTTTGCAGAGCTGACAATGATTATGAGAAGCGGTTACCCAAGGAGAAGTTGTATTTGGTTAGTTCATATGAACCCCTACAGCAGTGGGTCAGGAGAGCAGATTACACATTTTATCAAGCACTGGTGGAAGTTCTGATACCTGACGTTCTACGACCTATTCCTAGTAAGCTTATATTTGAGACTGTTATGCTAAAGTAATTTATCAGATGAAGATCCTTGAACAGTTTTGAAAAATGTTAAAGTGAACTATTGAAAAACTTTTATGTAATCATATAATTTTTCCCCCTAGGTTCACTTACACAAGCCATAAGAAATTTTGCCAAAAGTTTAGAAAACTGGTTAAAAAGTGCCATGACAGGTGTCCCAGAGGAAATGGTGAAGACAAAGGTAATAGAAAAATGAACATATGAATAAAATATCAGAGATGGTGAAAGTTTGAATAAAAATCTGTAAAATATAGAAAAAGAAAAAGTCATTTCCATTTTAAAAGTGGAGAAGTATAATATAGAAATAATCTAGATACTGATAATAATTGAGGAGTTATTCCCCTTTAAATACCTCTGTACTGTTAAACTTGGTAGGTGAGTGCTGTCAGTGCCTTTGCTCAGACTCTGCGTCGGTACACCTCACTCAACCATTTAGCTCAGGCAGCAAGGGCAGTTCTACAGAACACTTCCCAGATCAATCAGATGTTAACTGATCTCAACAGAGTGGACTTCGCAAATGTCCAAGTGAGTACAAAATCATGATTTAAAAGGCATTTATGAATATATTTGTATTTTATTTAGAATAACAGGTTCAGCTCCTAGCATAATTCCAAATGAAAAACAAAGATAAAAAAGAATAAAATTGTAAATATTTTCATCTGTATAGATGATTATCACTGCTCAGTTCATAAGAAAAAAAAGGTACCATGACTAAGCCCCCAAAAAGTCAAATTTCACAAAAAAGAAAGAATGCTTTGGTTGGCAAGATTTTTTTAGATTTGAAATTTGTGGAAATAGATAGCCTTATTAAATGAAAATGAGATTTAAAAAAAAAAGGAAACGTTTTAAATTTTTTATGGAAATAAAAAGTTCATTAGCAAGTATCCCAGTGTGAGTTGAGATTTTTCCATTTTGATAGGAACAAGCGTCGTGGGTGTGTCAGTGTGATGACGCTGTGGTGCAGCAGTTACAGGACGACTTTAAGAAGACCCTGGAGCTCCAGAACTCTCTGGAGCAGTGGGCCGTCTGGCTTGAGGGGGTCGTAAACCAGGTCCTCAAGCCTCACGAGGGGAGCGAAAACTTCCCTAAGGCAGCCAGGCAGTTCTTACTCAAATGGTCATTTTACAGGTAAATACAATTTATATCAGAGTCACCTGAAGTAACTTGTTTAAAACAGTGCACAAAATAGTGACTGAAGATGACTCAATTATTTAACCTTGAAAAATAATCTTACAGCTCAATGGTGATAAGGGATTTGACTCTGAGAAGTGCAGCAAGTTTTGGTTCATTTCACCTGATCCGCCTGTTGTATGACGAGTACATGTTCTACCTGGTGGAGCACAAGGTGGCGGCCGCTACAGGAGAGACCCCCATAGCTGTCATGGGAGAGGTCAGACAGGTATCTTATGTATTTAATGCTATCTGCATGTTGTGTTGTCAATTGTTAAACACTAAAAACAATAGTATCAAAAAAGGGCACATTGTTCTTCTTAAAAATCTTCTAATAAAAGATCTTAGGATAATAACATGAAGTTCAGAATAAGCACTTTGAATTGATTTTCTTTGGATTGTTTTATGATCTTTAATAAATTTGAAACTGTTTTTTTTTTTCACAGTTCATTGATATAAGCAGTGCTGTTCTGATGAGCAATCTTGAAGCAGAAACGAAGCCCATAGTATTCAGTAAAGCTGCAACAAGTGCCACCACGACTTCTGCTCAAACCTTGCTGAACAAAGGGGAGACAGGACAGTCTAACGCCACCACACTGATGGTCCTGTCTAATTCTGGTACAACAGGAAACCCCAGTGTTAATGGTAACGTTATTGTGACGGCAGCTCCTGGTTCAAATCCCACAACGGTCACGGTACGGGCAGCTGGGACCGGGAGCACGATACCGGGAACTAAAACCATTGTTGTGATGCCAGTGTCTAATGCTGTAGGCTCAGGGGACGGACAGGGTACAAAGCGATTAAAAGTGGAATAGTGATTAACAACAGAATATTTACATGCCTGAACAAATCTTGAATATCTTGTGGACTATTATTCACCCAGTTTTGAAGTTGTAATTCCATCCTATTTTGTACATATGTTTTTTATGTATTTAATGTTAAAATAGTTCATGTTGCAAGTTATTTGAGATTTAGAAAAAAGAGGAGATGTGATTCAGCAAAGTGTGTATAATTTGAGATGATCCTTAAATTGGCAAATGTTATTTTGTGGACTTGAAATATTAGGCTGGTTTATGTGACCTATAAAGCCTGAAACAAGTGACACTAGAAAGTAGAAATGAAAATTCACCGCAAAATATGCAAAAAAGAAGTTATATGTTTAAGTGAAGACCGAGAGACAAAATTCTGTATCTGAAAGTGAAAATTGTGATCAAGTTTTTAAACCAACTTTTTAAAAATGAAAATGCCTGTACATTTATCCATGTGTATTTTATAGATTTGCCTAAAAGTTACTCTGACTTGTGGTGCAATTGCATGACTACATTTCATACCATCATTAATCACTGGTTCATTGTTTGACTTTTGTTTCCAATTTGTTTTAATTGCTTGCTGTTCAATACATAAAATTCTTTTTTTTCAAATGATTGGTCTTATCACTTTTTTATTGCATGATTTTGTACTGCTTCAATGAAATGCATGTGTTTATTTCAATTCAGTATCTTTACATCAGTATTTGTTGAAGTAAGATATTGGATTGTTTTGTGAAATGTTACATGACAGAAATAGCAAGCTGTATAATTTATTTATAAAAGTGTTAATTTTACTGTAGACAGTTTGGAAAAAAATATTCATGTACAGAATCTTTTGTCATTTTGTAGATTTTAGAAACTAGTCATATTTATTATGTAAACTAGGGTATTTAAATTTTTGAATTCTTTGGTTTTTTTATCCTAATGTTTGATAAATTTAGCAGGAGAAAAGTAGTATTGAAACGAATGTTTACAAGTAGTTCTAAATTATTTTTTAGGAATCAAGTATGGATATAGAACAATGTGATACAGTAGATGAAGTTTTTAGATAATTTTCCCATCTCCTGTCAGACGTCTGACAATCTGTGCCTTAGACCAAATATAGCAGGACAATGTTTGTACAGAAAGTTTATACTGTAGCAAGACTTGTGTATATCGTATTTCGGGCGGGTAAAATTTTTTGTAGTGCTTAATTTTATGATTTGCAGTTATTTATTTTTTATTTATTAGTACATGTATACAAATTGGAAAGGCATTGTGTTCAATGAGACTGCTTCTTAAGTACTGCTGTCACTTTCTGTAGATTGTGACATTGATGATTCAGAAAAGTTATTTTTGTGATTGGAAATCTTGATTACAAGTTATAAAAAAAATTAAAATGAATAAAGCTAATTGTTGAAAATACTTTGTGTTTTGTTTCCTACAGAATTTATTATTGAGAACTACTTGGTTTGAAAAGGTAATGCATGCAAATGGCTATTTATGATAAAATGAGAAGTCCAGGAAAAAATGTGCTTGTCTTGAGCATTCTCTTCCAATTAAAAACCAAGGCAAAAATTGGTTGAACGAAAGCGACATTAAAGTGTTCAATTATTTGAATATATTGAGAAATCTATCGTAACAGTTAAATATACTGAGGATTTTTTATTTATAGAGATGTAAATTGAATTAATTTCGAGAGTAGAACAGGATTTTGTTGTACTTGAATGATTGAAAATGTTAAAAAAAAAACAACATCCTGACTCCATTAATTGACTATTGCGTAAAGTGGCTTAGTCCTAGGTCAAGATTTATTGACTTTGTGATTGGAAAAAGTGTTTAATATCAGCATCTTGTAGAAAACCAGCTACATGTGTGTTGTTTGGTATCGGGGTGGTTTATTCATTCTTCCTATTTATTGGGGAGTATTTTAAACACAAATGAACATGAGGGAAGAAAAATAGAGACATGAAGAAAGAAAGAAAATTTGCAAATTAATTGTGAAAATAATGTTGAATATATTGCTTCTTCCTAACAATGAAAAAAAGGCATGACAGATGAATGTTTTGATTTTGATTGCTCTATTTTACACTATTTTTTAAAATACTTAAAAAAAAGGGAAAAAAATTAAATTGAAATAACTTGGTACGAGTTAGCTATGCGTCTTCATTTTCCTATGGCGGGAAACTGCGAACACCAAGTTAGCGCCAAGGTGTCAACATATCGATGTTCAATAACAAAAACATGGTCTTGATGGATCAATATCAGGGTATTGGCCATGAGTTTTATATGTTATACAGAGGAGAAGGATGAGACGCAATGATGCCTAGCAGTGGGCTAGGTTGGGATCTATCGAGTGTAATTTACAGCTGTCCGCTGCAAGATGTGCTTATCAGAAAGGGATGTTTCATGTATTTAAAAGGTAATTGGGAAATAAAATATTTACTACACGTTTTTGTTTTTTAAATTAATTAATTAAAGATAAGGTATTGTGCTATTATGTATGTTTAAAAAAAAACGTGTTTTTTACACATATCACCAGTGTCATGGAGAAATTATTTTTTAAATTTAGTTAAATAATTAAATTTTAATTGTTATTAACACTATATAACTTTTAATTCAAATTAAATAAAACTTATAATATATTTTCATTATATAACAAAAATGAAAGTAATAAAATTAAAATTTTATTTACAGGATTTGAAAAAGGATTATGGAAAAGTGCTAAACCTAATAAACACTACCTCTACGTACATGCTGCGAACACATTATGACAATTACCACCATGCCTTTAAGGATGTCACACAAATGGCCTAAATCTTGTGGATTTGATATATTTGGTGAAGGTCCATCTTATATTTTAAGTGTAGCCAAAGGAAGCATTGCCTACAATGCTGGCCTCTCCCCAGGAGATGAAATCATCGAATTAGATGGAGAAGATGTCACGAATGCTTCAGCTACGACTCTCAAGTCCCTGGCTAAGCACAGTCGGTCACAGCCCCCCGTCTTGGGAGTGGTAACGAGACTACAGCAGGTAGAGTTAGTGTGCACCAGAGTTTCAGGATGTGGATTTGATGTTCAAGGAAATAAACCTGTCCGAGTGAAAAATGTGGAATTATCAGGGCCAGCTCATCAAGCCGGCATCAAACCAGGTATACATAGCTGTCAAGTAAATGTACATGGGACCATGTTTAAAATGATATTGTTTGTCCTCTTCTTAGGTTAAAAAATTAGATTAGTATTTTGAGAAAAAAAAAATTTCAGAAAATTTCGATGTCCAATGGAGGTTGAAAAATTTAGGAATAAGAAGAAAACTTAAAACAGTCAGTTTGAAGAGGACAAACATTTTTTCTTGAAGATAGTCTGATCCAAAGTTTTTTCATATTTTTGGTAAAGTTGAAATATCAAATGTTTGAGGCAATTATTTTACTATAGGGGAGAAAATGATTATTATATCTCCTGCACATGTTGTAGTGTAAAGCTTTACTATTCTAGTATATGATAAATATTCTTGAACAAAAACAGGTGATGTTCTTTTGGAGATCAATGGTTTTTCCATCAGAAAACAAGAGGATATTAGACCCTTCCTTACTGGGAGACTAAGACGTCTCTCAATCAGCATTATACCAACAGGTAGAAGGAAAGAATATAAACGAGTAGCCAGAAGGAATGTCCAGGCTCAAAATTCGGCCGGAGAGTGGGGGAGAGTCAAAAGAGCCAAGGCCCTTCATGATAGGGTAAGAATTTTTCATGATAGGGTAGGGACTCTTCATGATTAATCATGAAAGGTTTAGAACTAGAAAAAGAAATGTGTTTATTTTTCATCCCCCCCCCCCCCCCCCCCCCCCCCCAACAAAAAAAGTTTGAGTTTTTAGATATTTAAAAATATTTTGGATAAAAACAAATGACCCCTCTCCGTTACGCTCTCCAAAACAAAAATCTGAATTCAAAAATAAAATGAATAAAAAGGGATTGAAAAGTGTGACTACTTCCTTTTTGTAAAAAAAAATTTTTTAAAGGGATTTACGGAGGAAAAAAGGCCATTTCAAAAATTCAAAAATGTATGGAGAAATTATGAGGCTTCATTGATAATGATCCAATATGCCATGCATTATTGATTTTTATATTTATTTAATTACATACCAAATGTTGTTCTGTTTTTCTTAGTTTGTCCCATTAAAAGCTAACAGATCTGAAAAGAATAAATGAATGTAAAGTACTTCAAATAGGAGGGAGAAATCAATGATTACAAAGAAGATGGATAACAGCTGGTCACTTTTGGGGGTAAAATTTGTAGAAGTGTAAATATCAATAATTGAATAAATATGAGAATTTGTAATGGGGGGAGGGAAAAAAATCAACCATTCATAATTTATACACTCGGTGAAGTCATCATGCATGGTTGATTTTCTTACACCTCTAGTTACTTTGAAGTGAAAAAATCATTTTGTATCCATTACAGAAATAAATTCTTTCAGAATATATTTATCAGAAAGTACAAACAACGAAGTAACAAAACACCTTGACATGCATCAAGTCAAAAAATCACATTCCGCGTGGAAAATTATGCTTCCAATACTTAGAAGCACTGTATATAAGAAGAATGTCGGCCTAGATCAATAGCTACTTCTCCCAGGGGGAAGCAAGTTCATTTATTTTACAAGAAGTGTAGGCCATAAAGAAAACCTAGATGTAATCAATGTTCTGACGTTGCTCATACCTGGGTTTAAGATTTCTTTATTAGTTTACAAGTACTGAGGCTATACAGGTGAAAGTGAAGTTTTCTGAGAAAGAGAATTTCCTGAAAATTAAATGTAATTAAGTTTCTCCAATATGATATATGAACAGTGGCAAAAGTTTTGGTTTCCAAATTATTTGCAGTAAAATGAGATAAAATGCCAGTTATAAAGATTGATGTGTTTTTGATATAAAAACCAGTTTAAAATTTGAGAATTCAAGTGAACCAATTACACATGCTGTGTAACAATTTAGAGTGAAAGAAATCGAATTAGCAGAGTCAAAGGGGCCAGGGAGAGCAAAGCTGATGAATGGTTTATTTCTATCTTAAAATTAAAAACATTTCTTGAATGTGCAGAACTACACCTTTACCAACTGACTTAGATTATTAGATATGGAATAACAAGGCCAAGAAAGTGGTTTTGTTGTAAACAGAATAAAGAACACATTGTTGAGTATATAAATAATATTTCAAAAGATGAACAATTAATGCTTAATGAACAGTTAAAAATGAAGCTGTAGACCTGCATGCTTTACATGCTTACTGCAGTAGTTGTGGAGTCTGTTTCAATTAAAGGAGCTAAGAGCATTTAGTGGCTGCGATGATTGTATTCACTTCCACTGTTGCCTAATAATTCAATATTATTCCAGCCAGGAAAATTAATCAAACTAATTGGATTTTCCAAGTTTATGTGCAGTTTTATTTCGAACAAGAACAAAATTGCTTTAGATCGGCCATTGGCATGTTTATACATTAGTGGAGGAACAAAACATTTTTGTGTCCCAAGACTCATGATTGTGCTGGGGGCTCTACACTTCATTTGTCCTTTAACTGTAGAATTTGATTCATTCCAGTGCCATCGGAACACTGGTCATTGTGTTAACTAAGGCTTGTTTCCGTATGGATTATTGTCAAGGGACATTGGCAAGAGAACCAATCAACAATATACCATTGAAGTTTTCGATGATAATTTGCAGAATGTTATAAAGGGGGTTTCCAAGGCAATAAATAAGTTTTGAAATGTGTACTTCTGTTAAAAAAAGATGTGTACATCAAACCCATAAAATATGTCGGATGGGAAAATTCAGAAGAATTTAACTTTCCTGGATCCATTGTTGCTAATTAAAGATCATCTGGTGCATTAGTGCGTTTTAATGAAGTGGATATGGCACTGATTCCATTCATTAAACAGCAGGTCTATCTCCCCATCTATACTGTACATATTGATATATTATGTGTTCACTTCACACAGATGAACGAGATTCTAGGGAATGACTACGAGAAGAAAATGGCGGTGGTCAGTGTGTTAAAACAGTACGCGGAGGACCGGGATGTGGACATGCTGGCCCGAGCTCTGGCCGCCATTCTCAAGACCCCCAGACAGACAGGGATAATACAGCAAATCAGGTATCAATAGAATGACTAGAAGTATATTTTAGACAGTTTAGACAACTCCTAGTTGTCCCTGTAGTCAAGGATTTTTTTCCATTGACCATTGCATTCCCATCAGTGATTAGGGAAAAAAATGCAGCATAAATGAGCTAATATAAGAACTGAAAGCAAAACCAGAATATATTTTGACCCTCAAAAAATCTTTTTGACTTAAAAAAGTTTACTTCAAAGTAGGGATGTGCGATTTTTTGTTTCGTGATACATATCGTGATATGGAGACCTAAATACCGGTCTTTAGGTACATATTATAAAGTCCAGAAATTATTCATTTATTTGTTCAATCTTTCAAATTACAATTACAGAAAGTATAAAAAATGGTGTAAAAAGTGAAAAGAACGGCATTGTACCATCCAAACATAATTGATTTTACAGACCCTAAACCGTGCTACTACACCACTTGAACGGTACGGTTCGGTACGCTTTGTGCACGGAACGGTACGCTTTGAGAACTGAACGGTTCGTTTTGTGAACGGTACGGTACGCTTTGTGCACGGAACGGTTCGCTTTGTGCACGGAACGGTACGCTTTGTGCACGGAACGGTTCGCTTTGTGCACGGAACGGTACGCTTTGTGGACGGTACGTTTCGTTTCTTGCACGGAACGGTTCGTTTTGTGAACGTTTTGGGAAATGGTATGCAAATGAAATGGGCGGAGCCTGTTAGCTTTAATTTTTGATTGGCTGATAAAAATTAATTCATTTTAAATGACTTTTTAAGTACTTAATGCACGTATATAATTAGCCTATATTTCCGCTTTTAACAAATTAATTTCTCGGTTTCAATTTAAACATAAATTTACACTACAGCGGTGATGGAGGAAAAATGAAAAAAAAAAATGAAAGGAAGGAAAAACATCATCCCACCGATGTCTTTGACATTATGTATAGATATGTATTAATATATATAGAACTCGTAAAGATTTCCGTGCTTATTTGTTACGCATGCTGAACCTTCATTTTAAAACGGAAAAAAATTAAATGAAATATTTTTTTTTACTTTAAAATAAAGTTGTAAGATAATTAAAAGGAATAAATATATATCGGGTGTAGGCCTATATACTTGTTCTATACATATAACATATATACATATGTACCTTATTTTTAATTCATTGATCTATAGAAATAAATTTGACTCTTCCTGCTTCATTTTTATTCATATTAATGAGATATGTACATTGCTTTTTTTATTTTTAAAATAATAGATCTACCGTTCAAACGTTTACTTCAGAGGAAAAATATCAGTAAACAAAATAAATACGAAAATCGGCAGCAGAAACATGAAATCAATGCAATCATTTCCGAGCGCTTTCTCTTACAGAAAACATTCTTTTCACAGACAGGTATTTATTTTTTCAATTATCCTTTCAGTGTATTAAGTAATTATTTCAATATGTTTTCTTTATTTTATTAAGTTATTCTATTCTTATAGTCGGTAAAAACGATGTCGTGAATGAGAGAGAGAGAGGGGGGATAGAGAGAGAGAGATGCAACCCTTAAATACATTAATTTATCTGTAAAAAAAAAAATAACTTGTATTTTTTTCTCATTCTTCGTTTATTTACATCGCTAAAGTCACAGAGTCTGTCTATGATTCTATTTAATCAACCCCTTTACAACTATTGTTCAATGAATAATCCGTTCTCTGTACATGCATGCTGCACGCATGAAATTCTCGTGCATCACCTGTCAATCAAAATGGTATGACGCTAGGTGACCCGGAAAGTCTGTTTACGGAAGAAGAATTTCTCCTGTTATTTGAAACATTCTTATGGTCAGTTCATAGTTCACACCTGTTTAAATAAAATATCGGGTCACAGGCGGGGGGGGGGGGGTGCGCGTGTTTAACACACCTTTCAAATTATTTAGTTCTGACCATATCAAGTATATTTAATCACTCAACTGACATCCAGCAAATTCATCTTCCAGGTTTCACCACAACACTGATTATTAATTTACTTCCTAAATTATTTCTTTCAGACATAAATAAAGCATGTATCCCTAAATTATAATTTTCTTTTTTTTAAGCACAATTTAAAGTTTCATAAACTTGCATAAGTATCGCCTTCTAGAGTGTGTGTGTGTAGGAGGGGGGGGGGGGGGGTAACAAACATAACTCGAATGGCTTGAAAGAGGATTGATATTCTTTTAAATTTCATTTTATTCAGTAAATTATCTTTTTTCAGACACTAATAAGGATGTTTCCTGTAGATTTTTTTTATTTACAACAACGTCCGATTTTGCAGACTTCTAAAGAACTTTCGACCAGCTAATTCGTATTGCTTTCTACAAGGGGATCGGGATACAGTGTAACAAACCTTATAATATCTTTATTTTTTCGCAAACTTTTCTTTTCATTTTTCATGAGATGTATTTCAGAATGAAGTAATATTCATACTGCAGTTTGCACATTTTATTTGCAAGAAATTCGGCTGGCGATTTTTGTATTTGCAGCATGAAAGTTTATCACAGTTTTATTAGTAAGATTATCATCTCTGTCAGTTCACTAGAAATCTTCACGTTTACCGCATGTAACATTTTAATCCATATTTTACATGATTACAGATTTTCAGTGTAAGTTAAACTGCACAAATGATTCGCCTATAGTTAAAATCTTAACAGAATTAATGTGAGAGACTAATACGGTTCTTTTTTTTAAATTTTTACATAAGAATGCATACTTACGACAAAAAAGATCTTGTATCCAATAAGATTTAATAGTTTAAATGAGTAAAATTAAAATCAAAAGTAGAGACAACCAGGGAATAAATTCATGAAAGCGTGTTCTTTTTTAGTGGTATTATAGTCTATTGAACCTATTTTTATGTCAAATATAATTATAGGATTTTGAAACATGAATGCACATGTACACATTAAAAGAGGGTTTTTTCCCCGGGCACGAGCACGATTATATTGAATTTTGGGGCATCTTTAAAATATTATTTTAAATATCTGTATAATTAAATTACGATTACTAAAATAAACTAATATTTCAAAAGAAAATTGATTTAAGAGGTCGTCCATCAAAATATCAGGCAACAAGTGGCACATGGTGTGATTCAGAAATTCATCATTTTTGCTGTATTAGTTACTTTTGACATGAAAACAATGTTGGTAAAATAAAAAGTTTCCACTATCATTCCTAAGCCCTGTACTGTGATATACCACATTCTTAGTGCAGAAAGGTCACGAAAACAGGCAAAATTAAGCATAGTTTATTTATCTAAAAAATCCATAAAATAACAAAACTGATAAAAACACATGATAATATATGTAGAACACTTTTAAGAGCAAATATGAGTTTCATAAAAAGTAAGATATCATTTTAATTTAGTATAATAATGAGAGCTGGAAGTTGGCTCAATTTTGTTAAGTAAATTTTACACTGAAAATATGGTCTTTAAATGTTTCCATGGAAACCAATACTTATGATTGCCAGAAAAAATTATGGTATCTAAATATTGTAAACATGTTAAAGTTTAAAAAACAAAATTAATATTGGTGGGCACTACTGCTCAATTCAGCATGGAAGCAGTCTTTTCTAGGGTAATTTGCATAAATTTAGAATTTGATTTGACAACACATATGGGTTTCTTTCATGTAAAATACAATAAATATACAATATATCTCATCTTATTCAACAAATCATAAAATTTATCAGTTGTTGAAATAGTTCCAAATTAATAAGGTTCCTTAAAATTTTAAAATTCCAAAAACATCCATTATACTAACCCCCCCCCCCCCCCCCCCAAAAAAAAAATCCCTCTAATATTAATCAGATATTATGATAAAGAAGCCTCATGATTATTACTAATTAATCCAAGAGTTCTTGACATACTAGGAAAATGAAAACTGTGAACTGCATGATGCTGATGGAATTACTAAGGTCAAGGCTCATCAGCAGATGTGGAAATAATGGATGATCTGCTGTGGAATGCATCTGGAAATGAAGTGCATAGTCGCAGCATATGATAACCTTGTCACAATCATAAACAGTTCTGAGTGCAAGGAAGAAAATCATGCCACCCTTGATACAAAGATTACAAATCACAAAATCTATAGTTGTTTTGTTCTTTTAGTGTGATACAAAATATATATTGAAAACATTTTGTTGAAAAGCGAATTTTCACTTAACAAGTGTTAACAGACAGAGGAACAGACGCTGTGATTCCTACGGGGTTCCACATTGAATTTAAGAGGGGCCCTAATAGTTGGTAAACATTTTATGGCATTATTAAACATCAAACTTAGGTGAAAGCTTCAATAAGTAAGCAATATGCAATTTAATTTCACAGAGGGATATGCTTGGGATCTTTAAAAATCAGAAAAATTATAAGACTTAATTTAGAAGGAAGCATTCTCAGGTAGTGTAGATTCAGGTTTGTCAATCATGACTTCCAGAAGATTCAGAAGGTTGAAGACATAATTTAAATCAGATCCACATTATAAAGTCAAAATATTTATGAAATTAAACAACTTAATTTAGAAAAAGAAGTAAATCTGCTACAGCAAGTAAAAGTGGCCATGCAATGCTAATACTTTCTTTCAGGAAAGCTAAACATTGTCTGTCACAGTTTCACACAATTTGTCAATCATGGCTGAATCTTTCTCCTGTCTCTCTCCATCTGCTATATCTTCTAAGTCAGTATCAACTTCTACATTGTCTGTTATCTTTAAGTCACCTGAGAACTAAACATTGTCTGTCACAGTTTTGCACAATCTGTCAACCATGGCCGATTCTTTCTCTTTCCCCAGAACTAAACATTGTCTGTCACAGTTACACACAATTTGTCAATCATGGCTGATTCTTTCTCCTGTCTCTCTCCATCAGCTATATCTTCTAAGTCAGTATCAACTTCTACATTGTCTGTTATCTTTAAGTCACCTGAGAACTAAACATTGTCTGTCACAGTTTCGCACAATCTGTCAGTCATGGCTGATTCTTTCTCCTGTCTCTCTCCATCGGCTATATCTTCTATGTCAGTATCAACTTCTACATTGTCTGTTATCTTTAAGTCACCTGAGAACTAAACATTGTCTGTCACAGTTTCGCACAATCTGTCAATCATGGCCGATTCTTTCTCTTTCCCCAGAACTAAACATCGTCTGTCACAGTTTCACACAATTTGTCAATCATGGCACTTCTCCATATGGCTGTGGTCACATTTAGAACTAAATTCATGATTATCTGGGTTACTCAGTGCATACTGGATGCAGTGGTCTGGTACACTATTTTCCTGCGTAATATGCCATCTGTAGTCACATGTGAGGTATTGCTTACCGGCTCTTATTCTTTTTGCAATATCCTGCAATAGAAAATAAAATTTAAAATTATATCAATATACTTCATGTTGTAATTTAGTAATAATTACATTGATTTTTTTTATTATTATGCATGAATATCAAGATAAGCAATATTTATCTACTTGACCTACACTTTCTAAGAGTATCGGTAATACTGAGTACCTTCAAAATGTATAATTGATTAAATGTATATAGAAAGACGGACAAAGGAACACAAATATATCTATAAACTAATTAAGAGAAGTATAAAAATGGCCATAGGCAGCTAGGATATGATCAGTTTGTTCACTGGTTAGGAATGCTTGAATAATAGTAAAAATATGACTTATAAATACCCTGCTGCTCTCAAATTTTTTTTTAGATAATTTTTTTCAAATACATATTCCCATGTAAATCCCTGTGTGTAAGATTACGCACACTGCAAAAATGAACATAGCATTAACTCTTTGAGCCCTTAATTTGGCTCAGAAGAGCTTAAAATCACCCCCCATATCCATGGTTTTGTCCTTTCTTAATTATCTCCCCTTGGAAGAGGGTATCATTGTACAAAATTCTCTTTACCCATAAATAATTGTATAAGACTGGTTAACATTACATGGTACAATCGGACAATTCATTTTGAAAGGAAGACGGAAATTTGAAAGGTCTGCATAAGGATAACGCATCGTCGGATACTTACTGGTGATCTCCTCTTTTATTGATAAGTAAAAAAGGAGATCACCTGTGGGTATCCAATGATGAGGATAACGATAAGTATGAAAGATTAAGCCTTTCTCTCTTACGTTTCTCTTAGCTAACAAGGAATGCCAAAATTAAGCTAACGAACATAAATATTTATACCTGTGAAACATGTGACAATGCACCATAACTTTCCATTGCTTCTGCTATAGAAATCATCTTCTCCAGTGAGCATATACCATCAGCAGTAGTGTTGTCCAGTCCACACAGACTCTTCCTTTGAGTTGCAGAACAGTTCCTTAGTAATTCGTAAAGTGTTGACCTTTTGCACGGATGAAAGCTAGTTTCTTCACAGTATGCTGTGTAAGAGGAAATTATTCTACTACCTATTACTGTTCTTACAATGTCAGGTATATGTATCTTTTGTCCTGTGGACAGTTTAAGTGTTCTCTCTCCAAATGCAACATCTTGGACATACTGTGGTTGAGATATAAAGTCAACAAAGTGCTGCACCTATAAAATTAAACAAATACATGTGTTTAAATATGTACTGTATACTTTTAATTTATTATACCCCCGGCAAACGAAGTTTGGGGGGGTATATAGGAATCACCTTGTCCATCTGTCCGTCCGTCTGTCTGTCTATCCGTCTGTCTGTCCATATGTCATTTTGCGCGCACGTGCGTGCGTGCGCGCACACGTGTAACACGTGAAATGACCAATATAATAGATATAGCCGTAACTTTTTAAATTTTGGATGAAATGCTTTGAAACTCATAATATAAGGATATATTAGTAGTATAGACATGATGACATGGTCAAAATAGCAAGATCTCACGCGCATGCACGTGCGCTTCGCTCTGATTGGCTAAAACTAAAAGTCTAAATATCTTTTTTGTTTTCTGACAAAATCCTTTGAAATTTTGAACTTAGTCATACATTATGAAGATCTACAGCATGATATATAAGAATAATCATGAACGCACGCATATGCACGTGTGCTGCAATCTGTTTGGCTAAAACTTTAAATGCCTACAACTGTCTTGGTTCTCAATAATACAGGTTGAAATTTCGAATATGAATAGATATAATGAATGCCTACATTAAATTACTATCAAAAGTAAATGCAAGGACGTGCATGCACATGCGCCCGCACACAATGCATTAAACGACAGTATACTTGAGTTTTTGATGTTCATGCAAAATTAAGAACTTCTAAATGTCAAGATATGTAACATACTGAAGCATGCAGATCTTTTGACCATTAACCTTGAAACTAAGGTCAAGGTCACTGGTTACCTGAATAAAATGTTGATAATAGCTACATGTATTTTCCAAAATCACCTTGACCTATGAACTTGAAATCGACCTTAACCTTTTTCCTTGACCCAAGGGTAAAAAGAAACATGAAGTACATGTACATGTATCTAGAAACACCTTTCAGAGTTTATTTCGGTTGGCAGGATAGAAGTTAAAGAGGTGGTGGTTTTTAATGACCTTGACCTTTTATCCAAATGTGACAATCAATCTTAAGTTCTTGGAGTAAGATACAAGATTCAACTCCAACGTTAAATAGGTTAAGAATAAAAATATCCCCCCCTCCACCGCAACAACCAAACAAATCAAATTAATGGCAACGTAGAGAATCGCTGTTAAACTCAAATAACACCTCGGACCCACATAAAATTTCAGGAGAAATGCAGAAAAGAGCTCGAGGAAAGTGTATTAAAATATTTGATTTGAGTTTCCAAAGTATATAGAAATTATTAATTTATACGGAAAAAATTACAAATTCTGTCGTATTTAAAATTAAAGTGCAGATGAACAAAGTTGGTATATAAGCCTTTTATAGCCTATTTATTCAGATGTCGTTAATAGCATTCAATTCAACTGATTTGAAATAAAATGTTAATACCAAGCATCCTTCATTTATTTTACCTTTGAAATTTATTTGAATTTTTTTTAGAATTACGCAATCCCCAGAAATAGCGATTTTCGGTATATTAAAAATCAATATACATGTACGCTCCTTCGTAAAATAATCAGGTATTTGCATTCATGAAAAAATATTAATAAGAAGGTTTTAAACAATATTGGTCACATTAGCTGACACGAATGTCTTTTTAAACATCTCTTGTAAACCTCAGAAAGTAGCCCCCTATGCATTGGAAAAAATGAATAGTTCCGGTCAAAAACCTTTATATATTTATTTACAAAGTATATAAAATTTACTAGGCACAGGTACCAGAGTTGTCAAAATGGTCTAAGAAGAAATATAAAAAAAAAAATCTGTACAGAAAAGAAAATCCCTTTTCCATGTATGGAACTACTATTGAATAAGTTCATTTTGATTGGTTAGCTATCGGCGTGACACCCTTAGTCGACTTTAACTCTGCCTTGTCGTTGGAATAAAACCAACTCTGAGCCCGAGGTTAAAATAAGCAGAGAAATAAAATGTGAATCGATATATTAAAAAATGATATATGCTTGAAAATGGTAACTTTATATATGTATTTTTTTTTATTTGCGGGGTAGAAAGATATGTTAATCGCTTAACCAACATGTCATAATCATCTTGCATATGCATGTACATGTACGTGTGCGTGCATGCAAAACCTTAAACGATACATAGTTGAAATCATTGTAACTTTTATATTCTTAAATGAAATCCTTGGATACTTAGCATATTTATAAAAGGTCTTAGAGGAATAAGGCACGAAAAGGGACATGGGGAGCGTTTGGGGAACATCTGTAACGGTCCCTGTTACAATTAGTACTAGTATCATGATATTTTGGGAAAAAATCGTGATATATAACAATACAAAATTTTTAGCGAAACCCATCCCTAGGCCCAAGGGCCTTGAATTGCTCTTCTGATAAATTGTACAATCTATCACTTCTATTTGAAGCCTCTAACTCTAAATATCGTAAGAACCAAGTTGTATCAACTGAAAAAGTATGATGATTCTTAACCAGTAAGGACCAAATGTATTTTAATAAAGCTATAAAAAAAAACATAAGCAAGTTACGGTGACCTACTTTGATGGAAGTGTTCCGTGAAGACGGAAGACCTTAATTAGTAAGAAATATATCAGTCAGCATTTTTTGGTCCTATTTCATTTTTTTTCTTCTGATCAACTGTTTCTTAAAAGAAGATTTTCTTAGAGGAAGATTTTCCACTTTATTCTAAGCCTTTCTTTGATCATCTCACCTTTCAGTCTTTGGCTCTTTAATTGAATTTGATGCTTTATCAAATTTTTACTACATTTGCCCAGTGGTGAATTAAATGTGAAGTTTATGGAAAGAAGGACCTACATACAGATGATCAGAAATGCTCAACTGAGCTTTCAAATCAGGTGTGCTAAAATACAAATAACAAACCTGTTCTTGTGGAAGTCTAGAGAACTTGGTTGACTTGGGCAACTTCTGAGGCTCAGCCATACCACCTTTCTTCGAGTAATCTCTTGCTACATCTATTTTGTACTTGGTGACATTCGGAAAGGATTCTAATAGTGTATTTTTCTGGAAGTGACTGGAAATTACTGACAAAATCTGCTTTTGTAACAAAGGGGAATGTGAGGCCTCCTGATATGCCTTCACAAAAGCCTGAAGAAGCTTGTCATCAGAGGAGGTATTTAGCACATCTGATTTATCTGTAATTTTTTCTAGCAGTAGTTGGGACTGAGATGGAGCAATGAATTCTAACAACTGTAAAACTATCTCCTTGGCTCTCCGCTCATAATATCTCTGTGTTCTAGGTGCAGATTCAGTCAATGGTACTGATAGTTGTGATCTGAAATAGGATGGAAATACACTACACTGAAATACAAAATGCAGTTTTTCTTGTCATAAATCCATAATATCCATATTCAGAAGAGAGAAGGATGAGATTAAAAAATAATTCTACAGAAAACTTGTTTAGTATGAACATGGATATTCATAGGTCCCAGTGATCACATAATAACCAAGTTATGCTGTAATGGCATTATCTATTAAACAGAGACAATTTGATATACATGTATTAGCAACAGGTTCCAAAGGGATCATGATTTGAACGATTCAGTCTATTATCAATAGTGTACCTGTTTTTGGTACAGAAACAATCAATTAATCTTAAATAATCTCACTGGGTGATACATATTGATGAAGCCTTTATATTCCTTTTTATCAATGAAGCCTTTATATTCCTTTTTATAGCTATGATCCACTTTTACATCTCCTCTGCTCTCCTGGTTGGTCATGATTAGAACAAACTTTAATCTACACTACCCGACAATGCTTCCATATAAATATGAACAATCACTGCAGCTTTTGGTGTTTTTGAGAAGATTTTCCTATAAAGAATTCTTATGTAAAAATTTGATACCTGATTTTTGCCTCACCCTAACCCTGGGGGCATGATTTTTACAAATTTGAATCTACTCTACTAGAGGAAGCTTCCACATGAGTTTCAATTTTCATGGTCCAGTGGTTTAAGATTTTCCCTATGTATTCCTACGTTAAACTTTGAACACCCACCCCACCCCCTTCATGGACCCACCCTACCTCTGGGGGGGGGCAAGATTTGTACAAATTTGAATCTACACTACCTAAGGATAATTCCACATGAGTTTCATCTTTCATGGCCCAGTGGCTCTTGAAAAGAAGATTTTTAAAAGCTGCCATTAATTTTTCAACAATTCATTATTATCTTTCCTTAGAAGAGGGCGCGACCCTTCATTTGAACAAACTTGAATCCCCTTCACCCAAGAATACTTTGTGGCAAGTTTGGTTGAAATTGGCCCAGTGTTTCTTGAGAAAAAGATGAAATTGTAAAAAGTTTCTGACAATGATGACAACAATTATTTCAGACAACAGACAAATTTTGATCAGAAAAGCTCAGAGGAGCCTTCAGCTCAGGTGAGGTTAAAAACAGTGATCAATATGTACATATATGACATTTTTTTTACCTTAGTGGATCAAGACTCCCATTGGATAAAAGACTTATAACTTCATTTATTATCTCTAATGAAGAAGACTCTGGTTCCCACTCCTCATGACTGCTGGGTATGCTTGCTTGAGTTGTTTGTGAAGATAATAAATCTAAAACACAAAAGAAATAATCAGAAGAGAAAGTATGACTGCACCAGGAAACCCTATACACTACATAAAATGTGAAAAGAAAAGAAAAACCAGAAATCTCTGTCGAGACTGTAGCTCTACTGGTTTGTACTTTAAACAAAGAAAAGTGGCAGTAGGGACTTGAAACCTCACAACAGCAATAATAGAATAATGATCATGTATCTTCACAACAGCAAAAACAGAATAATGATCATGTATCTCAGTGAACAATACTTGCATGCCACATAATACATGTACTATAATCAGACTGAAACTGTATTTGGTATTGCATTTTTTATGTATTTCATAGAAATTTCTTATTTTTAGTAACCATGGCAACACCATTCAACGAAATCAAAAACCAATAAAAAGAATTATGTATCTTAATGTAGTCTACTTCTGTGTCAAGTTATATTGAAATCAAGACTCAAACTGTAGGAGAAGTAGCATTTTGAATGTTTTTCACAGAAATTTCTATTTTTAGTAACCAGGGCAACACCGTTCATCGAAATCAAAAACTGATATACTGTCTACTTGTGTAGTCTACTTGAGTGCCAAGTAATACTGAAATCAAACCAAAGCTGTAGGAGGAGTAGCATTTTGAAAAATTGTTTACAGACAGACAGACAGACAGACGGACGGACGACGGACGCATTACTATCGCATAAGCTAACTAAATAAACAAGGGGCCTTAAGGCCTGAGTAACATTAGCCCAGCTATTACTCTTTGATTTATTTTTTTTAAAGATTCTTCACCTTTATAAATTAATTACCGTACCATGAAAAATTGTGACCCCATATAACACCTAAAGGGGTCTCTGAATCTGAACTACATAGGAAATGTCAACATGTTCAGTATGAATATAACTACCCTGCTTGGGATGTAATTTGGCCAACTTAGAATCTACATTATCATCATGATCAAAGAAAGCTTTTACACAAGTTTTATCTTTTCTGACCAAGTCATTCTTTAGAAAATGACTTTTTAATGACCTTAGCCTATTTATTGCTTTTTCTTCATTATCTTCCCTTGGAAGAAGGTTTAAGTCTTTACTTGTATATTTTTGAATCCCCAATAAATCAGTTACATTTTCATAGCCAACTTCTCCTGTTTTTTTTAACAAAAATTATAGTCAATGTTTAATATATTTAGTTTCTGCATTTACATATATTATTTATTAATGAAGGAATGTTTTAAAGTTTTGTGTGAGTTATTGGTGCACTGAATGAGACTTGTCATAGATCAAGGCATATATGTGATTCACACACCAATAATTCACACTAAACTTAAAAGCATTCCTTATATTTACATTTTCCATGTCTTGAATTATCAAAAATATACTCAATATTTGAATTTCTTGCTGCCCTATTTCGTTGCATTTATAAACACAAATATGTGATTCTACAGTAAACTAAGAGTTACTAAGACTGGTCAACTACTTATTTGCAAATTTGCCTGTAAAGAAATGCCACTCATTTACAGTCTTTAAAATATTGATATATTTTTCAATTTAATCACTAGAAAAACATTTAGAATAAAAACATTTAGTGAACCTTTTCTTTTCAAACTACGCATTCAAGAATTTTATACTCACCGTAACAATCAGAACTTGTGACGGGCAGAGCAGTCTGAGAGTCATTCTTTTCATCAGTTTCATAGCCAACTTCTCCTGTTTTACAGAGTCAAAAAGATACGAAAGTAGGTAATAAGTCAGAAACGTAATGGACAGGTTTCGAAATTCAGGAAAATATCAATTAAAGGAAAACTATTTAATTATTCCTTCAAAAAGTAATCTGGAAGCGGGAAATATACATGTATAAAGACTATATAAAGACAGCCAAAGTAGTTCCGGCTGCTTAGTGCAAGTGAACTCTAGATTTTATTGATGCAGTTATCAAAACAATTTTTTATCCAATCAGAATCAAGTATTTTATAGAAATTAAATGATACATAACTCATTAAAATTTTAAATGTACTGCCATCCGTTTAGGCGTTAGTATATTACTTGAGTGTTATATGAAAAAAAAAAAACAAATATGTCACCTAATATGGTAACATTTGAAGATAATTGAGTAAAGTAAGAGTGATCAGCTATTTATTTGCAAATTAGTATATTCACCTGTAAAAAGAAACAGTCCAATGATTGTAATCAAGACTGCGATAAAATGACAATCATCATAAAAGGTGACACTCAATAAAAATTATTTTGCGGACAAACAGACGGAGAGACAGACAGAAAGACAGACAGACAGACAGACAGACAGACAGAAAGACAGACAGACGGACATGACAAAAACTATATAGGATTCCTCAACTCACAATGAATAATCAATAATGAAATTGAGATTATCAGAAATATTGATACATGTATTTATTATGAATTATTTTTATAATTTACAGTGTTTTCTCTTTATTTCAAAGTCAAGGGTTATAGATATCAGCAGTAACAGGCTAGGGACTGAGTTTATGAACAGAATATCTGTGGATTTCACAACAATTTTTTATATCAAAGGTAGCATTTTCTTCAATTGAAGCACTGAATTTAGCTGTTAGCTGGCTCTTAGGGTAAATACTGAATTATGATCATAATAGAAAGAGATTTTATTTCATTCTGTCTTTGTTTTTATTTATATAATACAACTATATAATAGTCAGCTAATCTAAATGTTATCATATTATATATGCATACTTTTTTTAAGCACAATGTCATGAGGTTATATGCATGTTTACAATAGTTATCAAATCCAATTTATTTATAAAAATTTGAAAGACAAAATTAATTAAATTTTGAAAAATATGTTTCAGTCAAGTGGACTATTACACTGATATTTTTCAAAATATACTTTTACAAACAGTGCTCATATGCTGATATGCATGCTAAATAGTACAGGCTCAATACCTCTCAAAAGTCTAATTATGTACTATGTACCTAGTAGTGTATCAGCCCTTATACAGATGTTTTGGACTATAGATGTCTGACTTCATGAGACAGCACCCAGGAACTACGACTGTCTTACTCTCAGGGCTGAGATATCTATGCCTCAGCTCATTGTCAAAGCTAGGCTTGTCTCGCCCTTAATTTTCATATTATATTTCTGTTTAATTTGTGTGAAATGAGTAAAATCTTTAATTAATTATTAGAGAGAAATATTAATTTTGTTTAATTTTTAAAATTTTACCAGTATATTTAACATGTTTAAAAAAATATTTATCTAAAGAAGAATATTGAGAAAATTGTTTTTAAAAAGTGCGCCAAATGAAAGTACTTGTACATGAACATCCCACCACTATTTTGATCTCGTCCCTGGTATTAGCTGTCAGATGGTTGGCCCGTGCCCTTAGAGCTTGGGCGACATTATCTGCTCGTACTGATACCTGGGCCAAGATCAAAACAGCAGTGTGATGTTCTACATATGCTGCCTGTAGCATACATCACTGGCATGGTCAGTGACTCAGAAGTCAAGTTCAGGGTCACAAAATCAGCAATCTTAATATTTTTCAAAAGCCATAGTCCCTGAACAAATTTGTGGACACCTCTATATAACAGTCTTGAGATACAATGTATGACAAATTAAACATACAGACAGACATGAGGTAAAGTGTCACGTACACTGCTTTAAAGGCGTCAACATAAAAAATACCTGAATTGCATCCATTTTCAGTGTCTGCATTGTTCCCAAAACAACTCACATTGCTTCTGTTTAAGAGTGCAATCATCTTAGTGTGAACAACTCTGCACTTCTTGCAAATGGCTTTTAAAGAAAATAATTGATAAATATACTTGTATATCACTAAGTCTTTGTTAATATTTTTATCATATATACTTTAAGTAATAACAAAACATTAATTTAGAGTCCCTAAAAGACTGAAGAGTCTATCAGAGTTTAAAACTTAAATTTTACTTCAAAAGAAAGAGTTGTTCGTTTATTGGGTACTATTTAAAATCAATTTTATATTTTACAAAAATATAAAGAGTGGGTTCTTTTGAGTTCAAAATCAAACTTCACCATAATTATAAATTTAATAGGGGCCTGATAAAATTCATTGATTTGTGTATTGTATATGCATCACCTTGATCACTTTAAAGGTACACAACAGTTTTGTTTTATGCTTGTATACATCATTACATGCACAATAACAAACCATGATATATACCTGAACCAATGGGAACAAGACAGTTGAACATGTAGAATATTTCACTTGAACAATTCTTGTTCACTGCTCTGTCCGCTACGTTCCCAACTCCACTGTGCAGAGGATAATCGCATTTGGTCTTTTTCCTCCAATACAGGCCCAACGAATCACGGTGCTCTTTACAAACTAAAATTAGCTGCTTGCTATAGTCACTGACGTCATATAACCCACCTCTATTGAGAATGAGGTCTATCTCAGATACGTCCCCTTTAGTTTTTAAGTACCTGAGATGGGCACCTGTACTCTTTACACACTGTATAAGGTTCACGAGATCACCGGAACACTGACCATGGTCAGTAAATCTGCATTTTAACTCTGGTGGATAATGGCAAAACAATTCGTCTGCCATCTTTTTCACTGAATTGTAGGACCGGGCTAAATGACACCATATATATTGAAATAATTTTTAAAGTATCTTTAACTGTTTTTTCATCAGTTAAAAATTTAGTTTCATTCATTCATCGTATAATATAATTTCTTCATCGCATATAAATTAGAAAATAAATAAATGCTGAGAGGAAATTGCAAAGAGAGGTAACTCTTGCATCATTTTCCACATCAAACTAGGTATTATTTGATTACATATTTATTTGGAACAAAGACAGTGCCCGCCAATTTTTGGATTGATTCGTTTAGCCTACATATTCTTTTATTTTTTGAAAAACAAAGTTTTCTTATCAAGCACAAGTATTAGGTTTTAAACGATTTTAACTCACTTGTTGATTCCAATGAAATATATAGTAAATATACTCGTTGACTCGGTAACATTAATTGGTCTGTAAAAAAGTTAATTTACAATACTTTGAATTTTGGTCAACAAAATTATTATTTGGGCTGTAAATGAAATATAATTCAAACATACTTTGTGACTTTGCTGGATAAGCATGTGCCAGTTTTTTTTTATTTTGCCTGATATTCAGTGGACGACCTCTTAATTTGCTAATATAAAGAAAATGAAAAACTTAAAAGACACCGACATCGTTCGAGGTCCACACTGCCCCGTACGTGTTTTGCAGGAAAAACTCCTGACCTGTACTGTTCGTTTGACCACAAACACAACCAGTTGATCTAATTTATAGCAAATAAGAAATCGTCTCACACTCTGTCTAGTTGTTTTAAAGTTGTAGTTTGCTTCGAGTAGTTTCCTTATTTTTACAGTTGAAGGCCCAGACGCATGATATTTGATAATGGTGTTTCGAACAGGCAGGCACAATCTCCGTCCTCCTTTCACAGGCTCCGTAGCGAGAAATAAACCAAAATGACTTATTTGGTCATTACACGATTCAAAAATCATTGGGGGCGTGGTTTGCATAATTAACCAAAGAACGGTACGGTTCGTTTCTTGCACGGAACGGTACGCTTTGTGGACGGTACGGTACGCTTTGTGAACGGAACGGTACGCTTTGTTCACGGTACGGTACGCTTTCTGCACGGAACGGTTCGCTTTGTGCACGGAACGGTACGTTTTGTTCACGGTACGGTACGCTTTCTGCACGGAACGGTACGGTTCGTTTCTGAGGTGTAGTAGCACGGTTTAGGGTCTGTACATACATAAAAATTTCAAGAAAGTAAAATTTTGTTTTTCTAGCTTATTTTTTAGAAAAATAATGAATTTTCATATAAAATCTTTGTAAAAACTGCTTTTAAAAATATCATGATATTATCATGATATTGTGGGGAAAATTCGTGATATATTTTGATACGAAATTTTTGGCGATACCCATCCCTACTTCAAAGGGTCGTAATGACCCTTGGTTTTAAAAGTTAACAGAAACACTGTAGATCAGTCAATCATCATTTTATGCTTCATGAATTTTTTAGACTATTTTCTTGTACTGTACCTTACAGGGGGTTTCAGTTTTTGTTGACTTCAGTAAAAAAACTTATGACTTCCCCTTAAACCCCAAGTATTCTTACAGAAAAAGAGATCCATTTGTTAAACAGGGCCATTTCCAGATTACTGTAAAGAGAGGTGTGTTGAGGATCTTAGAAAGGGTACACTTTTCTTCCAATTAAGTCAATTTTTTTAATGAATAGTTAATACAATTTGGTTGAGGTCTGTTGTATTTTGGAAATTATTTTTTAATATTTTAGTGAACAAAATCTTGCAACATTTACCTTAAAACAGATGAAAACTGGCAAATTTATCATAAGTCAGAAAAAAGGAGCACTTTTTCTTCCATAAAACTGTAACATTTTGCATAAGATTCTTAATTAAAAACAAAAATTAAAATGGATATATGAATAACACCAGTATTTACTCTGTAAATTATACCATGTTGAGTAAAAAAAATTCAGTTTACTTAAAATCATTCCTAACAAACCGATCCTTATATTGCTTGATCTAAGCATTTAAAAATTTAGTTATAAAAGAATATATTATAGTGTATATTCAGATGGTTGAATGATAGACCATGTTAAGTTAATAACTCATTTCTATAAAATGTTAATTGTTTCTGGAATTTCAGGAACTTGATATAGATACACAATAAAAAGACATATGAGAGGCATTTTCCTTTATTAAATCAGTATTCAGTAATAACCTTGAAGAAAAATGTTTCTGTTGTTTCCAAAGAAAATAATAGGAAATGCTTTTGAATTGTTGTGCTGCACAATCTGCTTTGTTATCTTGCAGGCAATTTATTCCTCCCAAGCAAAGAGCAAGATTTGATGAATTCCATAAATATCAAAGAGCAAATATGATCAATTTTGATGAAGAGGCCTCCAAATTTGATCATGCTCACACAGACAGAAGGTAAAACAGTTTATAATAAAGATCTATTTCCTTTTCACAAGCTCAAGGGATTGTTTGACATAATTGCTAAGATATATGAAATGAAATACTGAAGATTCAGTTGGTTTGTGATATGATGAAGTTTGTTATGACCCAGACATCTCTATCACGATGCTATCATCATTAAGTTATCCCAAGTGGAAAAAATCTTTTACCACTGAAAGGTATTTTATTCATATTACAGTAAAACTTGTTTAGTACGAACACAGATATAGCGAATTCACGGATATAACGAAGTTTTTCTGGGTCCCCGGCAAAATTCTTAACAAATCTTTGTAAAATTTTACGGTTATAACGAACTCTGATATAATGAATTTACGGATATAGCGAACTGATTTTGAGTCCCAGTTGAGGTTAAATATAATGAAATTTACATCTTTTATAACGAACTTTCAAAGATCTCAAAATTTGATAAATTGAACTGACTTTATTTTCTTTCAGCATTTGTATATAAAATTCAATTCATAATAAAACCTTAGTTATCGAAGGTATGTTTTGTAATATTTGCTTCCCTAAGATATTTGATAGTAACACTTGAAGGAAAACATGCATATTGCGAATTCGCTATATATGGTTATACAAATTCGTTATACGGATATAATGAATTACAGATATAGCGAATTAAATTCACAGGTCCCCACGACTTTGCTATAATGGAGTTTTACTGTATATATTGTGATACAGTAATATCTGACTCATTCAGATACCACTGATCCCTTTCACTGAAATTTGCAAGATTTTGGAATTCACAACATTCAGATTAGACAAGTTTCACTGTATATTTATATACAGAAAGATATTATCTTTTTCTACTTTGAGTATACATTTTAAGTAGCAGGTTTTTTTTTCATTATATAAATGTCTTTTCAGAGTAATCCAAGTCTTTCGAGAGGGAGGTAGCTTTGGCTTTGTGATCAAGGGAAACAACCCTGTGTGTATTGAGTCGGTGGACCCTATGGGACCCGCTGATAAGGCGGGGCTTCAGGCCGGGGACGTGATTCTGAAGCTCAATAACATCGATGTCAGGTAAAGATTTACAGTTGTTCCTCGTGCAATTCACTCACATGCTTAATCATTCCCAGCAACAAGGGTGTACAATTAAGCTTACACAAATCACTTACTTACTTAAATATTACCTAAGAGGAAATATGAGAGAGTTATCCTTTGACATGAAGTTCAAGTGTTAAGAAAGAGAAAAAATAAACTATAAATAATTAATACATTGTACAAATACTAATTATAAAAATGTGTTAGGATAAAATTTTTCCCTAAGATATTTTCTTGCAAATTATGAAAAAGTATTGCATGAGACATTGAACTTTTCATAACTAACTAGCTGGTATGGAGAAGACATTTATGAGTAGATTGCATCTATATCAATTTATTAGCAATATTCCTCACCTATAGGTACATTATTGCTAACATGCTACACAATGTCTCCATTAGAATTCTGATTCTTGATTAATGAACATTTCAGGTTATGTGAACTTAATGACTTTAGTCTATAGGACTAGCCAGTAATTGCTGATTGAGTATATATATGTATCGATTTTGTAGGAGGTGTACACATGCACACTTGGTACAGTTACTTCAGGACAGTGGATCGTCCCCAGAGATTGAGGTTCTCAGAACTCAGAGAAATGGTACTGTACTTAAAATTCAATATTTTAAAGTTCAGTTTACATGACTCTGCAATAAAACTCAAGTGTGTACCCCTTTCCTTCTATGATCCTTTAACTCCATTTATATATTGTGTTTGATTTTAAGCATTTTCCACATCTTATTATGCTTCTCTGTTCTGAAGAAAGAAAGATTGTAGATGTAGAAAATATTAACTATTATATTAAAAGATACACTTCATTTTCATTTATTTTTAGAAGGTCTGAGTACACATCCAGTTTGTCTTAATTAATTGTTATGCCCTCCTCCTGTCTATCGATTGATCTCTCTGTTGGTCGATCTGTCTGTCTGTCGGTGTACCAACAGTTTCCCTTCATTTTCTTTGCAGAGTTAGTACGTACTGAAATGAAATTTTTCATAAGAATATCTAAGTCATTTGTTTTGGATAAGATTGAGCAATTTTTGACAGATTTATGCCCCCTGGACTTAGAAACATTAAAATTATTTGCAATTTCTGTTTATTTTCTTAGCTTATATGTCCGGGGATGGGGTAGGTGGGGGGGGGGGGGGCTAATTGTTTCACAAACATCATTTGCTTGTTTTTAATTTTCAGAAAGTCTGAGTACACTCAGTATATCAATTGTTTGTTCTTATTTACAGAAGGTCTGAGTACACTCAGTATGTCCACAATGTCTCTCTCCTCCATCTCGAGCCACGCCTCATCTCAGTGGATGAAAGCAGACGGCAAAGAAATGATTGACAGCAGTGGAAAGTCCTTCAAAAACCATGTGAGTAGATATTACATTTGAATTTCAAAACTATCATGTCGTAACTCTTATAAGTAAGAATAATTATTTATTTGTGTAAGTTTATAGTTTACTAATTATATCTGTTGCAGGCTGAGTATCTGCTGACATCCAAGGAGAGATCTCACATGAGAAAAGCAATGATTCAGTATGATACATCCAGGTCAGTACTAAAAATCACCTCCTTTATAAATACAAAAAAAAATACTTCAACAACCAAAGTTTGTTGCCTGAACATTGTAAGAGTTTTATGCATCACTTTTACAAAATTGATGAGAATGAAGTCTAAATTTTTGATGTTCATTAAAACCTAGGAATATAAAGTGGTAGGGGCATTGACAGTATGTACGAGGGATGATCCAAAAGTAATGTCACAGTGTCCTTTCTTTTATATTTGGCGTCATATTATCAAATACAATATACCAAAAGATGCACAAATATAAATCTAATTAACATTGAAATTTTAATTTAATAATGTTTATTTGAATTTATTTTATAGATGTTTAAAACATAAAGCATAGGGGGTGTTGCAGCGTCACAGCGGAACGTCACATTTTAAAGTGTATTTTTTCTCAGAATGAAAAAGACAAACATATTAAAAAGATTCTACACAAGCACCCAAACTTCCAATTTTTTAAAAGACACAATTCTCATCATTTTCTTGTCTTTATTTGAAAATTAAATGACGGCATCGGTATTTGTGATCATAAACATTGTTGTTTTACTCTGTTGAATTGAACAGAGGGATTTTCAAAATGGGGGAAAAACGGCTCGACGAGTTGTAATGCATTTTTGCTTCAAAATACCGATATGGGAATCATCACAAGCCACAGTTACATTAATTAATCAGACTTACAAAATAAAGAATGTAAATAAGAGACATCTTAATAGATGGTTTCAGCAATTTTGGATGGGTAAGACAAGATGACCGAAAGATAGAAGATCGGACGGAAACGTCCGATGGTGTCTGACTTTGTCAAAAAAGACAGACATATAGAGTGATATGTGAATTTTCAAGTTTGTCTTATGCTATTGTTCAAAAAATTTTGACAGAGGGCTTAATTATGAAAAGAGTGAGTGTATGATGATACCAAGAATTCTTAAAGAAAGTGGAGTTGGTGAAAGTGTTTTCGAATCACAAATATTTTTTTAATGAAAAGAAAGGGAAAACGCTTAAAAGAATGACGATGTGTATCTGTCATATGACGTTATATTTAGGTGGGGCAACTACCATAAATGCACATTGTTTGAAATCCGATATTTTGCAAAGTATCCGTCATATTCCTTTGAATTTTTCAGGTCCAATTTGAAATGAATAAAGCTTCCATCATGTTTAATTTTGTTGCTTTACGTCCATTTATAGCAATTTTATCAAAGTTGTGACATTACTTTTGGATCAATCCTCGTACATGTAAATTCTTTACTTTTAAGAAATGTAGTGGATTTCTACCACCAAATCTCCATGATACTGGACACACAGTCCAAGAAGACATTGTGGAAGTTTATCCTCATGAAGCTGACCCCTCCTCACCAAGAGTACTGTCTGAATAAAATCAACCTGTCTGAGGAAATCTTACTGGGTAAGTCAAATCCTTACTGGGTAAGTTAAATCAACATGTCTGAGGAGATCTTACTGGGTAAGTCAAATCAACCTGTCTGAGGAGATCTTACTGGGTAAGTTAAATCAACATGTCTGGGGAGATCTTACTGGGTAAGTTAAATCAACCTGTCAGAGGAGATCTTACAGGGTTAGTTAAATCAACATGTCTGAGGAGATCTTACAGGGTTAGTTAAATCAACCTGTCTGAAGAGATCTTTCTGAGTAAGTATAATCAACCGGTCTGAGGAGATCTTACTGGGTAAGTCAAATCAACCTGTCTGAGGAGATCTTTCTGAGTAAGTATAATCAACCGGTCTGAGGAGGACTTATTGGGTAAGTTAAAATCAACCTGTCTTAGGAGATCTTACTGGGTAAGTCAAATCAACCTGTCTGAAGAGATCTTTCTGAGTAAGTATAATCAACCGGTCTGAGGAGATCTTACTGGGTAAGTCAAATCAACCTGTCTGAAGAGATCTTTCTGAGTAAGTATAATCAACCGGTCTGAGGAGATCTTACTGGGTAAGTCAAATCAACCTGTCTGAGGAGTTATTACTGGGTAAGTCAAATCAAACTGTCTGAGATCTTACTTGTTAAGTCAACTGGACCTGTCTGAGCATACGTGCCAACTTTCCCGATTTAGGCGGGATTCTCCCGATTTTACCCTTTCATCCCGCCTTCCCGATCGGGAGAGAAAAATTGACCTAATTTCCCGATTTGTAAAAATTCACCCAAAATTTCCAATTTTATAAGTTTCCCTAATACCGCTGAATTTTTTCAATTGGGATAACAATATCAGACTTGTTTATTCAATGCACACAGATAAGTTTCATTGTTTATTTAGGTGTTAACATGGTTAATTAGCCACAGGAAATCACTTCACGCTTGAACGTACGGAGTCGTCCAGGTGCAGGTAGCTTACAGCACGGGGCAATTAATTAGGGGATTATCTTTTCAGTTTTAAGGGGTACGCAAGGTGAAACACATAGATTAAGGGGATAATTGTTTGTCATTTTATTGAAAACATAAATTAAAGACAACTAAATAATAACCAAACCATAAAATCGGAATCCAAGGAGATCGTTATTTGAAAACGAAAGTAGAAAACTACAAAGCATAGCTGCTGACTTTATCTACTTATAATGAAAAAATATTGTAAAGTTTGCCAGTTAAGATAATATGAAAAAAATCCTGATGAAACAATAAAGTCTATGTCAATTAGAATTTCTTTTCCCTCCCTTCTCCCAAAAGTAATTATAATATTTTATGCATATGTGACTAAGAAATACCCACATAGCACCATCAAGCCTGCCAAAGTTCAAGACTGTAAAAAAATTAATTTATTTGGGATAGGTGATATCTTTATTTTAGAAAATTGATGATTTAATTCTTCAAAACCGATGATTTATTTCTTTGAATAAAAAACAAATGCATTGCAGTTTCTCAAAATTTCTTTAAATTTAATATCTGATTAGAATTTCTAATTAATTAAAATATAAAAATCTCATAAATGTTCCCAGAAACAGTACTTTACAGTATCAAAAGTTGTACAATTTTCAGTTTTTCACCAAATTATGTGTCCTACATATGTTACTAATTATCCCTTCTTTAGTGAGAGAGGCACCTATTTGAGCAAAAATATTTTCATTTTGAAAAGAAAAACCTTATTTTTGTGTTATTTTTATCCTTTAGTAGTATTAATAAGTGATATTAATTATATTATAAATTATAAAAAAAGGATCATGTCATAATCATTTAATTTCACGACAAAATGTCGCGAATTTAAAGCTATGAAAAATGTCGTCATGCGCAAAATCCCCCATGGGAATTTTCAAAAGTTGGCATGTATGTCTGAGGAGATCTTACTTTTAAGTCAATTGGACCTGTCTGAGGAGATCTTACTGGGTAAATCAAATCAACCTGTTTGAGGAGATCTTACTTACTGGGTAAGTAAAATCAACTTATCTGAGGAGATCTTATTGGGTAAGTAAAACCAACTCTGAGGAGATCTTACTGGGTAAGTCAAATCGACCTTACTGGGTAAGTCAGATCAACCTGTCTGAGGAGATTTTATTTATTGAGTACTATTTTCTTCATATGTTTAATGAAAGAAAAACAAAAACTACAACTGTAAAAGCTTTACAGGCCCCGACTCAGTCTTTTTCAAAACTAAAAACAGGCCTTTGTTTATGCTTGCAGAGGTAGCAGCACTTCCTAGACAAATTGAAAGAGCTGATGGCAAGAGTAAGTTATTTGCTTTTCACATTTTGATTAAGACATATAGCACAGTTCAGTGATTTAGTATCTGAGAAAGTTTTCTTTGTTATATTAAATTCTTTGAAAAAACGGTAACTTGAAGAATTTAATAGAATAAGCAAATTTTTAGCTCTACTGGTCAGAGACCAGAAGAGCTTATGCGATAGTAATGCGTCCGTCGTCCGTCCGTCTGTCTGTCTGTCCGTCTGTCTGTCTGTAAACAATTTTTCAAAATGCTACTCCTCCTACAGTTTTGGTCCGATTTCAATATAACTTGGCACACAAGTAGACTACACTAAGATACATAATTTTGTGCATCGGTTTTTGATTTCGATGAACGGTGTTGCCGTGGTTACTAAAAATAGAAATTTCTGTGAAATTCTTTCAAAATGCTACTCCTCCTACAGTTTTGGTCTGATTTCAATATAACTTGGCACAAAAGTAGACTACACTAAGATACATAATTCTGTGCATCGGTTTTTGATTTCGATGAACGGTGTTGCCGTGGTTACTAAAAATAGAAATTTCTTTGAAATTCTTTCAAAATGCTACTCCTCCTACAGTTTTGGTCCAATTTCAATATTACTTGGCACACAAGTAGACTACACTAAGATACATAATTCTGTGCATCGGTTTTTGATTTCGATGAACGGTGTTGCCGTGGTTACTAAAAATAGAAATTTCTGTGAAATTCTTTCAAAATGCTACTCCTCCTACAGTTTTGGTCCAATTTCATTATAACTTGGCACACAAGTAGACTACACTAAGATACGTAATTCTGTGCATCGGTTTTTGATTTCGATGAACGGTGTTGCCTTGGTTACTAAAAATAGAAATTTCTGTGAAATTCTTTCAAAATGCTACTCCTCCTACAGTTTTGGTCTGATTTTGATATAACTTGGCATACAAGTAGACTACACTAAGATACATAATTCTGTGCATCGGTTTTTGATTTCAATGAACAATGTTGCCATGGTTACTAAAAATAGAAATTTCTGTGAAATTCTTTCAAAATGCTACTCCTCCTGCAGTTTTGGTCTGATTTCAGTATAACTTGGCACACAAGTAGACTATACTAAGATACATAATTCTGTGCATCGGTTTTTGATTTCGATGAACGGTGTTGCCGTGGTTACTAAAAATAGAAATTTCTTTGAAATTCTTTCAAAATGCTACTCCTCCTACAGTTTTGGTCCAATTTCAATATTACTTGGCACACAAGTAGACTACACTAAAATACATAATTCTGTGCATCGGTTTTTGATTTCGATAAACGGTGTTGCCGTGGTTACTAAAAATAGAAATTTCTGTGAAATTCTTTCAAAATGCTACTCCTCCTACAGTTTTGGTCCAATTTCATTATAACTTGGCACACAAGTAGACTACACTAAGATACGTAATTCTGTGCATCGGTTTTTGATTTCGATGAACGGTGTTGCCTTGGTTACTAAAAATAGAAATTTCTGTGAAATTCTTTCAAAATGCTACTCCTCCTACAGTTTTGGTCTGATTTTGATATAACTTGGCATACAAGTAGACTACACTAAGATACATAATTCTGTGCATCGGTTTTTGATTTCAATGAACAATGTTGCCATGGTTACTAAAAATAGAAATTTCTGTGAAATTCTTTCAAAATGCTACTCCTCCTGCAGTTTTGGTCTGATTTCAGTATAACTTGGCACACAAGTAGACTATACTAAGATACATAATTCTGTGCATTGGTTTTTAGCTCTACTGGTCAGAGACCAGAAGAGCTTATGCGATAGTAATGCGTCCGGCGTCCGTCCGTCTGTCCGTCTGTCTGTCTGTCTGTCCGTCTGTCTGTCCGTCTGTCTGTAAACAATTTTTCAAAACGCTACTCCTCCTACAATTTTAGTCTGATTTCAATATAACTTGGCACACAAGTAGACTACACTAAGATACATAGAATAGTGCATGGGTTTTTAATTTCAATGAACGGTGTTGCCATGGTTACTAAAAATAGAATTTTCTGTGAAATTCCTTTAAAACGCTACTCCTTCCACAGTTTTGGTCTGATTTCAATATACTTTGGCACACAAGTAGACTACACTAAGGTACATAGAATAGTGCATCGGTTTTTGATTTCGATTAACGGTGTTGCCATGGTTACTAAAATTAGAATTTTCTGTGAAATTCCTTTAAAACGCTACTCCTTCCACAGTTTTGGTCTGATTTCAATATAACTTGGCACACAAGTAGACTACACTAAGATACATAGAATAGTGCATCGGTTTTTGATTTCGATGAACGGTGTTGCCATGGTTACTAAAAATAGAATTTTCTGTGAAATTCCTTTAATACGCTACTCCTTCTGCAGTTTTGGTCTGATTTCAATATAACTTGGCACACAAGTAGGCTACACTAAGATACATAGAATAGTGCATCGGTTTTTAATTTAGATGAACGGTGTTGCCATGGTTACTATAAATAGAATTTTCTGTGAAATTCCTTAAAAACGCTACTCCTTCTACAGTTCTAGTTTGATTTCAATATAACTTGGCACACAAGTAGACTACACTAAGATACATAGAATAGTGCATCGGTTTTTAATTTCGATGAACGAGTTGCCATGGTTACTAAAAATAGAATTTTCTGTGAAATTCCTTAAAAACGCTACTCCTTCTACAGTTTTGGTCTGATTTCAATATAACTTGGCACACAAGTAGACTACCCTAAGATACATAGAATAGTGCATCGGTTTCTGATTTCGATGAACGGTGTTGCCGTGGTTACTAAAAATAGAATTTTCTGTGAAATTCCTTTAAAACGCTACTCCTTCCACAGTTTTGGTCTGATTTCAATATAACTTGGCACACAAGTAGACTACACTAAGATACATAGAATAGTGCATCGGTTTTTGATTTCGATGAACGGTGTTGCCATGGTTACTAAAAATAGAATTTTCTGTGAAATTCCTTTAAAACGCTACTCCTTCTGCAGTTTTGGTCTGATTTCAATATAACTTGGCACACAAGTAGGCTACACTAAGATACATAGAATAGTGCATCGGTTTTTAATTTAGATGAACGGTGTTGCCATGGTTACTATAAATAGAATTTTCTGTGAAATTCCTTAAAAACGCTACTCCTTCTACAGTTCTAGTTTGATTTCAATATAACTTGGCACACAAGTAGACTACACTAAGATACATAGAATAGTGCATCGGTTTTTAATTTCGATGAACGATGTTGCCATGGTTACTAAAAATAGAATTTTCTGTGAAATTCCTTAAAAACGCTACTTCTTCTACAGTTTTGGTCTGATTTCAATATAACTTGGCACACAAGTAGACTACCCTAAGATACATAGAATAGTGCATCGGTTTCTGATTTCGATGAACGGTGTTGCCATGGTTACTAAAAATAGAATTTTCTGTGAAATTCCTTTAAAACGCTACTCCTTCCACAGTTTTGGTCTGATTTCAATATAACTTGGCACACAAGTAGACTACACTAAGATACATAGAATAGTGCATCGGTTTTTGATTTCGATGAACGGTGTTGCCATGGTTACTAAAAATAGAATTTTCTGTGAAATTCCTTTAAAACGCTACTCCTTCTGCAGTTTTGGTCTGATTTCAATATAACTTGGCACACAAGTAGGCTACACTAAGATACATAGAATAGTGCATCGGTTTTTGATTTCGATGAACGGTGTTGCCATGGTTACTAAAAATAGAATTTTCTGTGAAATTCCTTTAATACGCTACTCCTTCTGCAGTTTTGGTCTGATTTCAATATAACTTGGCACACAAGTAGGCTACACTAAGATACATAGAATAGTGCATCGGTTTTTAATTTAGATGAACGGTGTTGCCATGGTTACTATAAATAGAATTTTCTGTGAAATTCCTTAAAAACGCTACTCCTTCTACAGTTCTAGTTTGATTTCAATATAACTTGGCACACAAGTAGACTACACTAAGATACATAGAATAGTGCATCGGTTTTTAATTTCGATGAACGAGTTGCCATGGTTACTAAAAATAGAATTTTCTGTGAAATTCCTTAAAAACGCTACTCCTTCTACAGTTTTGGTCTGATTTCAATATAACTTGGCACACAAGTAGACTACCCTAAGATACATAGAATAGTGCATCGGTTTCTGATTTCGATGAACGGTGTTGCCATGGTTACTAAAAATAGAATTTTCTGTGAAATTCCTTTAAAACGCTACTCCTTCCACAGTTTTGGTCTGATTTCAATATAACTTGGCACACAAGTAGACTACACTAAGATACATAGAATAGTGCATCGGTTTTTGATTTCGATGAACGGTGTTGCCATGGTTACTAAAAATAGAATTTTCTGTGAAATTCCTTTAAAACGCTACTCCTTCTGCAGTTTTGGTCTGATTTCAATATAACTTGGCACACAAGTAGGCTACACTAAGATACATAGAATAGTGCATCGGTTTTTAATTTAGATGAACGGTGTTGCCATGGTTACTATAAATAGAATTTTCTGTGAAATTCCTTAAAAACGCTACTCCTTCTACAGTTCTAGTTTGATTTCAATATAACTTGGCACACAAGTAGACTACACTAAGATACATAGAATAGTGCATCGGTTTTTAATTTCGATGAACGATGTTGCCATGGTTACTAAAAATAGAATTTTCTGTGAAATTCCTTAAAAACGCTACTTCTTCTACAGTTTTGGTCTGATTTCAATATAACTTGGCACACAAGTAGACTACCCTAAGATACATAGAATAGTGCATCGGTTTCTGATTTCGATGAACGGTGTTGCCATGGTTACTAAAAATAGAATTTTCTGTGAAATTCCTTTAAAACGCTACTCCTTCCACAGTTTTGGTCTGATTTCAATATAACTTGGCACACAAGTAGACTACACTAAGATACATAGAATAGTGCATCGGTTTTTGATTTCGATGAACGGTGTTGCCATGGTTACTAAAAATAGAATTTTCTGTGAAATTCCTTTAAAACGCTACTCCTTCTGCAGTTTTGGTCTGATTTCAATATAACTTGGCACACAAGTAGGCTACACTAAGATACATAGAATAGTGCATCGGTTTTTAATTTAGATGAACGGTGTTGCCATGGTTACTATAAATAGAATTTTCTGTGAAATTCCTTAAAAACGCTACTCCTTCTACAGTTCTAGTTTGATTTCAATATAACTTGGCACACAAGTAGACTACACTAAGATACATAGAATAGTGCATCGGTTTTTAATTTCGATGAACGATGTTGCCATGGTTACTAAAAATAGAATTTTCTGTGAAATTCCTTAAAAACGCTACTTCTTCTACAGTTTTGGTCTGATTTCAATATAACTTGGCACACAAGTAGACTACACTAAGATACATAGAATAGTGCATCGGTTTTTAATTTCGATGAACGATGTTGCCATGGTTACTAAAAATAGAATTTTCTGTGAAATTCTTTAAAAACGCTACTCCTTCTACAGTTTTGGTCTGATTTCAGTATAACTTGACACACAAGTATACTACCCTAAGATACGTAGAATAGTGCATCGGTTTTTGATTTCGATGAACGGTGTTACCATGGTTACTAAAAATAGAATTTTCTGTGAAATTCCTTAAAAACGCTACTCCTTCTACAGTTCTAGTTTGATTTCAAAATAAGTTGGCACACAAGTAGACTACACAAAGATACATAAAATAGTGCAATGGTTTTTGATAAGTACATACCAGTAGAGCTACAGTCTCGACAGAGACTTCTGGTTATTTTGATGAGTGGCTAGGATCATTTTTCTGTTTATTGCTGATTTAAAGTCTCAAGTCCCAACTGCTACTTTTCTCTTCCTTTGTTTTAAGTATAAACCAGTAGAGCTACAGTCTCGACAGAGACTTCTGGTTATACCTAAATTTAATTTTGATTTAATAAAAAGAATGCCCATGATTTGTACTCACTCAACAATAAAATATATTATAACAGGATACAAGGAAAAGCCTTTTAGTAACAGGGATTGCATTCTGTTCCAATCGACAAAAATTTATATGCATCTCTGTATTGCTTTTCCTTTGAAATCTGAATTCACAAATAGCTTCTTGGTACAGCCTCTACAGTGTAGTTAATTGCGTAGTCTTTATATTTGTCAAAATCCATTGTAAAGGAATTTTCACCATTTTCAGAAAATTCCAGGCCTTCCACACCCAAACCACAACCGTCCTCATTCCAGCAGCAGTGTGATTACTTGTTGACTTCAAGGGAGAGAACTCACTTAAAGAGGTCACTTAGAGTGTATGCTCACAACAGGTGAGCTAATTAAAAAATAAATTAGTGTTTATGGTGTCTTATATCAATTTTCTGTATGAGAATTCTGCTTGGAGATGTGTAATGCATGCAGTAGAATTTTACAATCTTATATGTTTGAATTTATGTTGAGACCCATTATCTTTAAACTTCAGTTTGTGTGTAGAATGTTGGCTGAGTTATACTTATAACTTGTAGAAATGTGGAGAGTCTGATCCAGTCATTGGAGGGTATTCTGGACACGCCCTCTAAACACACCCTGTGGATGTACATCATTCCTCTCCTGATTACAGAGCATCAGAACTACACCAGGGAGAGGCTCAACATACAAACCAATAACAAAAGTAAATACATAGTAAATTTATCTAGAGACTGAATATAAAACCTGTTACAAAACGAAATACATTTTAAATTTATCATAAGATATTGAATAATAAAAATTTTCAGAACTAGTATGGTTATTTTCCAAGAAGATATTTATTTCCTTTTTCATGACTTATCTACTAGTGTCTTAAGGAGGAACAGGACCTTTCGCTGAAAAAATTCCTATCAATGAATTTTTTTTCGTATTTTTTTATATTACTAATTTAATATGTACTTTACATTTTAAAACGGTCCTGTGATGGGATTTCTTGACTTACTGTAGACGTACTTTTTTCCACGGAGTCATAATTCCGCGGAAACTCAATTTCTGTTTAATCCATGGGTAGAAAATTACGCGGATTTTTTATACTGTCAACATATGTCTTACATTAATATTAAGTACGCTTGGACTAATTTTCGCGGAAAATATTTGACCGCCTACATAGCGTAAATTAATACCACGCGGAAAAAAGTACTTCTACAGTATTTAAGGTAGAGACCGATAGCAATCACGTGATAGAAAGAATCCGCATATTTGCACGTGCTTTTTTTCCGGATTCCGGAACGCCGTCAAATAAAAGTCTCCATTTACACATTATTGTCTATGCTACAAGATGGCCGACGAAGCGATCGAGAAATTTCCTCGACTTAAAGGACAAAGTTACCATACGTATTAAATCTTTACGGTTCTCGAAATTGAAGCATCTTCATGAGAATCAAAATATAAGTGAGACTGAAGCCGACCGTGAACATAATTTTGGTGAAACTACTCCTTGTCCAGTGTCCACTGCAGCACCACGTGGGTACACCGGTATCTGATGTTGTTTTCAGTATAGACATTAAAGACCATGACCCTACAGATGTTAATTGGTATGACGGAAGAAGCAAAATTTTTGCAAAACATATTTTTTGTATGCTGTGTCCGTGTCAGATACATAAGGTGAATATTTACGACTTAGTATACAGGTATATCGATCATGACTATGGTGCTTGTTTGTTTACGCACAGGTCTGATACCAGTATATTTAGCTTCAATTACCAATAACCTTCATATAATTTTTTTTCCTTCCTAAAGTAGTTTTATTTAGCTAAAAATTAAAACGTATTTAATGACCAGACTGTAACTTCTAGGATAGAAGAATAAAACCAGACATTTCTGGTGTCAGAAAATGATAAAAGGCCGGATTGGTGAAAAATTAAAAGTAATCATACTTATCCGTGCCTAACACACGAGGTGGTGTTTAGTTACTCAGATCAAAAAATGGAGAAACATATTTCGCTTAAATTGTTCAAATGCAGAAATGTATAAACTTTCTCTGCTTTGGATGGCAGATGCTTTTTAATTATTATAACCTCTTTTATAAATGATAGTGGACATTTACTTGCAAATCTTTTGTCTTTTTGAAATAAAAAGCAAATTGTAAAAAGTTGCATTAAAAAAAAAGAAACAACTTTAGGATCAAGTGACAAAAAAAATAGGGTCAGTCGGGTAGCAGGAAACAAGACTATTTTTTTTTTAGCCTTATGTAATATTTATGTACCTGTAATAAATTTATGTATGGAACAGTATTTGTTTTATGCTCAAAAGGGCCCTGAATATAAACAAATATCATATTTATAGATTATAAAAGAAATATTTAATACTACAGTTGAAGCAAGCTATGAATTAGACAGTGTATTCAGCTTTCCCTGCTGAAATAATGTGACCAAATCAAGTGTCACCTGGAAAGAGGAATTAATTCAAGGGTGCTTTTTACATTAACTCCAAAATAGCCATTGGTTTGTATTTTTTTTTTCAATTTACACTTGCACATGTATCAGGGAAAATCCAGAAATTTTTTTCAAGGGGGTGGTAAAAAGGAGGTGTTTTATAATACATGTATTAAAAATTAAATTTATGATTTTTAGTACTTGTATTTTTTATTTAAACACCATAATGTACATACAGTATTATTGTATACATATAGAAGCATTTTCTTAAGTCAATAATTTCTCAAAGATCATATTAATATTTCAGGAAAGTTCAAGCCAGATCTGCTGCTACAGCAAACTGAACATAAAGTGGCATACTTGTGTGTTAGGAAACGAGGAACATGTATGGCTGGACTGAGAATCTAACTTGGGATCCCTGCATCACTACTTACATGTAGGTGTTCTATTGACTTAAATACATGTATGGTTAAATATTTGTGTATAAACATATAAAAAGTCATGTTGTAAATTGAATTCAGAACTGAATAACCAAAAAATTTTAAAATGTAAAGATGTTTTCTAACTTGAATGAAATTGTTTCAACTAAAGCACCAAAGAATTGGTACTATGATAATATGAAGAAGTCAGTATTGTTAAAAAAAACTTGTAATTGACATGGTTTTTTAACAATATTGACCTCTTCACATTATCATAGCTAAATTTGCAAAATAAATCAAAATTGTTAATAAATTCTACATTTTTTTTAAATAGATGATCAAGCTATTTACTTTATTTTATTTTCATGTTACAGATCCATGGAAATATAGGATCCTTGGCTAATCAAGTGTCATCTGCAGTGTTACAAAAGAATATTGGATTTATATCAATAAGGTAATTAGGGACAAAACTGAATTAAAAAAAAAATGGAATAAGATGTAAAAAGAAAAGTATTTTAATTCCACATATAATATTTAGGTTGCTAGTGGTATATGCATTGATGTGTCACTGACAGGTACAGGTAGTTTTTTATTTCCACAAAAACTTGATCCTTTTGTATTAACTCTTGAACAGTTTGTGCTGAGTCTTTGTATTTCACGTTTATTTCTTTTCTTTTCTGTTCTTGGTCTTAGTGTGTGGCCTACATTTATAAACTAAAATATTTGATCTTTATCCTTATATACCACTATAATACCAGTTTGTTTAATTAAGACAATTCATTAATCCAAATAATTTCCTTGGGAGCAAAAATGCCCAGATTAATGAGGCTGACTTTATATGCATTTAATTTAAAAAATTCATGACATTTGTCATTATATAAAAATGGTATCTCAAAAGTGTCTTATATTCATATAGGCATAGTCATACTATGTTTGCAGTGAAAGAAAGAAGTAAAACATGTATTTTCATTCTTATTGTATTAAAATATTTTGTTCTTTTCAGAAAAAGAACTACCAGAAGGAGATGGTAAAGAGGAACGGACATATCACACCATAAGACGTGCTTCAAAATCTGAATATACAGAGTGAATTTTGTTTACTGCAGATCCTTGTGAAAGAACACCTTTGTTGTATTGACATAAAAACAACAGAATTGTCAGGATCCTTGAACATGACGCAACTGGCTGCATACGGTGGCAATTAAAAATGCATACATGTTTACATTGATCTTTGTTAGCCAATAAGACAAAAAGAAAAATAGCAAGTTTAATATCCTATTACCGTACATGTACTGAATGTATTCACTTTATTTTGTTCAACTACATCATGAGTTTAAAAATTGTACAGTATCACATACAGTCTAAGGTGGGATTCCTCTAACTTTTATGAATCTGTTTGCAAAATCTATACTTTAAAGTTACAAATTATTACCTAGTATACATTGTATGTATTTTTGTAAATTATTGCACTGTTTTTGTATGTATGTAATGATAAGCAAATCACCCAATTTTCCCGCACTTTTTACCATGTATTTAGCATTTTTTTTACCATGCTTTAGTGTAATAATATCTGACAACTGATGACCAGGCAGTCTTCATTTAACAGTGTAATACATAACACATTTTTATCTGAATATTTTCAAAACTTCATAATCACTGGGTTTCCTTATTTATGTTGTACATGTATTTGGAATAAAAAAGGAATTGTTTAATAAAAGAAAAGTGAAATTAATCATTCTATTGTTGTCAAAGGAAGAAAATAAAAACCAGTTTACTTATGCACAGAATTGGTCAAAACATTATTGTCATTGATAATTCATCCAAGAATCATATGTATAATAAATCTACAAAGTCAATTTGAACGATATCAAGGAAAGTTCTTATCTTTTTTAATATAAGTGCAGAAAGGTCAAGCAGGGCAACATGTGTCCAGGTGTACATGTATAAATTGTTTTCTGTGATAAAGAATGTAATTTAGAAGAATATTACTTGGAATTTTACTCATTTTCTTTGAAATATTTTGATTAATTCTATCTATCAAAGTCAATTTGAACGATATAAGGAAAACTTCTTATCTTTTTTAATATAAGTGCAAAAAGGTCAACCAGGGCAACATGTGTCTAGGTGTACATGTATGAATTGTTTGTGTGATACAAAATGTAATTTAAAAGAATATTACAAAGAATTTACTCCTTTTCTGTGAAATATTTTGATAATTTCTGCATAATCTCTCTTAGTCACCATATTCTTCAAAATTGCATCCTTCTAAAGGAAGGGGGTAGGGTAGGGTGTAAGATAATAAACTTGTTCCAGGTTGAATTTAAACCCCATTATGTAGTATGATTTTTTTCTAAAATTTAAGACACTTATAGGCTAACTATAATATGCAATAAAAAAAGAAATTTGATGGGTAATTTTTTCACAGTGGAAGCAGAAGTGTGAGACCTTGTGCAATGAATAGGCAATATTTTAACCTAATTTGACCATGCATCTTGGTAAATGTAATTCTGTTTTTTGCTTACAATGCTTGATAAATTTAAGATTGATGTCAAATATTAATCCATACAGACAGATGTTTGAATTCATATAAGACAAATGATAATTGATATAGCAATAAAAAATTTACAGCCCTTTTCATATCATATTCTTATATTATTTTACCCTGCTTTTTCAGCTCTTCGGTGGTTGATGAAGGCAATATCAAAATTGTCAAATTTCTCTAAAACTAGCCCGATGACCTGCCTTGAATTTTTGATATGATTTAGAACAAGGACTCGACACAAACATATAAAAAATTCAGAAAAATTCAATGGGTAGTTTTTTTGTTGACAAGCTATCAATCTCTACCTTAAAATATATCGAACCATAAATACCGCCCTGTTTAGAGTTTGTATGGAGTATAGATACTTCATGTTTACGGGCCCATAACAGAGTCCATAATGCGAATTTTTACGCACAAACGATAAATATGATAAATAACACTATATACTCAAATATTTCAGAATATTCATAGTGTTTAAATTATCTGAAAGCAATTGTTTTAATTTTATATAGTATTTGGGTGGTATGATTTCTGCATTTTTCATGGCAGCTTCAAAGACAAAAACCTCATTTGGAAAAAAATCTGTCAATAAATATTTCTAAATTTACGATTGAATGTCAGTCCTACATCATAATTATTTACTGCATAAATATCACAGGGTGAAGCTTACCTCAATATCGCACAGGACATCATTGAATTAGACATAAGCTGATGAAAACGCTTCACGTTTATTTTCCGAGTGCGGGAAATCAATTGTGATGTCACACGAAAACATAAACGTTCAAAATTATCTAAATAGAGAGAATCTCTGCTACTAAACACAAAAAAATATTAATTAAAAAAATCTACTTCAGAAATTTATCACGATACATTGACTGTGACCTGTTTACTATGAAATAAAACTGATCATGACGGGTGTGTGTACTTGATCTCGCTGCACTGAGAATTCAAACAGTACGTCTGACGTCACTGACGTCGACTGCAGGGTAAAGAGAAACAAATGTGTGGATTGGGCAACTTCACAATATCTAAATGATTGCAAGATCTTTAAAAAAAATTTAATAATAATTTCTAAAATTAAATGTTTAAAAAACAATTTTAGAAATTTAGAATAAAATGACACAAGAACTGTTGATTTTAACAACGTTTAACATGAATATCATCACCGATTATGACGTAATATGTCTTTATAGTCATGTGACATGTGTCCTGTCTCCCCTTAATACTTTATTTTCTGAATGGCCCTCTTACTTTAAAACAGTAATATTCCTTTCCCAGTCTAAAGGAAGAATATTCCTTTCCCAGTCTAAAAGTAAATGCTGAGTCTGTTTTGTTTATATTATGATTTCTCCAACACCCCCACCCTAATAAAATCCCCAGTAACATTTGCTATGACAGCAATGGTGACTTGGTGAATAATATGGTAAATGAGTCTTATTAATGGTATTTTAGTCTTTAACTTATAGGTTAGATTGCACATGTTACTTTATTTGGCTTGAAGTGTATATGTACATGATATATCTTAATTTGCAGATTCTTTCAAACCAGGAACCTCAGGAAGTCATCTAGGATCAACAAGGAGCAGAGTGTTAGGAAATATTGAGGAAGATTTTAAATATGGTAAGTACTTTCATTATTTTAATAAGTTAAGTCTCAGTGATCTTGTAGAAGAAATGCAAAGAAGAAAATTTAAAATGATTTTATCTGTTAGTAGGAGCAGCTGCCAGTGCACTGAGAAGAGGCAAGGGGAGATCAAATTGGGTAGAACGATTTTCATTCAAGACCCTATTAAGCCATTAAAGTTTGAAATCATAAATTCAAAGATTATTTGGATCTTTTTTTGAAAGAAAACTCTATATTTACATCCATATACATATTTATATTCATCTTTAAACAGTCCACATACTCATCAGATGAGGAGGATTTGAGGGACAGAAGTATAAGGTCAGGGGTCAGAAAGGCCAGAGGTCGTCTGTGGAAGAAGATGCATCCTGGGTACACCTACTCTTCAGATGACATAGATCTCATTGGGAAACATGGATATGGTAAGTCAGGAGGTTATTACGTTTCTTGAATTTATAAGGTGTAAAAAGGCCAGTGCATTTACATTTATTTTGAATTATTTTAATCAAGCTCACTGAGCTTGTATACTTCTGTGTTGGAATTATTTGAGCAAACACAGAAGTACATGTTTTACATGTTGTTTATTTGATGCAGGACATCCAGAAAAAATGGAGTGTGCTTACACAAGTTTTCTTAAAGATTGTTTTCTTTTTTGACAGATTTTGAAAGAAAAAGAGTTAGCAATGGGAAAGGTTATGACTTTGCTTTAATGAAAGAACTGGAGGAAACCAGAAAGGCAGTGCAGGAAGCCAAGAAAGCATTCCAGATTAACAGGGGATCAGGTACCAAATTGAATGCTAATCTCTCCTTCTACCGATAGAATTAAGTTGAATTCTAAAATGATACATTTGTCTCTGTGTGTATATTTTCTTACTCCTTACAGAATCAGAGGAAGATATCCATTCAGCCACTAAGTATGTGACAGTTATCCCTATTCCTCAGTTTGAGCATTCACCTTTGAGTCGTCATGAGAGCCCCATCCTGAATGGACATGTCCACTCAACCAGCCTTCCTAATGGTCTTAACGAACCCCCAGAAATCATCTTCACCAGCGAGTCTGACAGTGAAGTGGAAATTCAGCGAACTTTGCCCAAGTCCTTGTTTTCTGTGAATTCCATGGATTCCTTCAACACCAGGGCACTGACTGCCCTGAAGGAACTGGATGCAGCCATGGCAGCAGAGGCTTCAGATCTAGAATTACGTCCCCTTGGGATGAAGAAGAATGGGAGTGTACTGCCCACATCCTCCCAGTCCCAGTCCTCCACTAATGAGGACACTGATCCAGATACAGACCAAATGGCAGTACCTCCACCTCCAGGTCTGATACTGTATAGAATTAGTAAAAATACTTATTCTTGAAATTCTTGAAGGCTGAATTTTCTACAATTTTTCTTTTTACATCTTTAGTGGAGTATCCATGGTTATATGTTCATATTTAAAAAAGGAAAAGTGTCTGTCTATATGATGTGACTGATATAATCTTTTTATAGCTCCTCCTCCCCCACCTCCACCCCCGCCCCCTTCTCTAGCAACAGATGTGGGCATGTCATCTCATCAAGTCAATGTAAAGAGAATAAACTGGGAAAAGATTGGTGCTGATAAAGTGGAAAATACCATCTGGGAACAGGTAGATCTTACTCAAAAAAGAAGTGCTTAATTTACTGGGTAAAGAGTTGAATTTTCTCTTTTTGAATTTAAAAAGTAAAAGGATCTGTGTTTAATATATTTTTATCATGAATTTTATCATGTAGTGATATTGAGAGTTGAAAAGCAAACTGCATCAATTAATAAAGGGGAAAAAAGATTGATGTTACTATGAGAATTATTTGTAAGTTTTCCTCTTTGTAGCTAGGAAATGATGACTTGGATGATGTCATCAAATATCTGGAATTAGAAAATCACTTCAGTATCCAAAACAAAAGAGCAAGTTAGTGTCTTGTTATGCTTCTGTACAGGCATAAAGATTTTCAAGGGAGAATACCCTTGCTTATACAACAATGTGTAAACCACTTTCACCAGCTATTTATATTAATATGCATGATTAATTATTATGATTTAGATCATTTCAGCACTTTCTGTTTCTGCCAGTTGTCCATATTGATCTGTGTATGTTATTGGCTGATCAATACATTGCTGTTTTGTGTGTTTTAGAGGTACCGGAGAAAAGAAATGAGATATACATTCTAAATCCCAAAAAGGCTTACAACATTTGTGAGTACTTATTAATACACAATGCACATTCCCTCTCTGTGTACAGCAAAATCTTGATTTGATGTTATTTATTAACAAATTAAGGAGCATTTCTTTTATGCTCATGGCACAAGTATGGCTGTTAATGTTTGTGATTTAAAACTCTGATGGAGCAGTTCCAGTACTCAAGTTATGATAAATTCCACCTGTTTCAAAATTGCATGGAAGTTCCTCTATAAATTGGACATTGGATCAGAGATTCACCCTGGTAGATATAAGTTTGGTAGGCAGAGGTGAACACCCCCTGTTATATATCAGCAGGTGCCCTTTATTCTGTAAATTTGTTTGCTTTTAAATGGAAGCTGATTTTGAACAAATCGAGTCCAGAAAACCCTGGTCATTGATTATCATGATACAAAGCCATAATTGCACCAAAGCATGAGTTTAAGAAGCTTTTTTAATATGTCTGTGAATGCAATCTTATTTTAAATACACTTTTGAAAAAAAAAATATTGCATATGAAGTACCTTGATCCTGTTCTTTAAAAATGCACAACAAATGGACAAAATGGAAATTTTTTTTGTAAAATGACTGTCTACAAAATTTTAAATTTTTGCACTGACAGCCATATTGC